ACAGTATGTTTTACCAAAACTCTCAGTGTAGTCAGGAATCTGGCAGTGAGTGCTCTTCTGAGAGAAGTGGTAGGTTTAACTGTCTTTAAGCTTTGCTTTCTCAGTTTGATGTCCTATGAACCTCTCTAACTGGCTTGTAACACTAACTCATTTATTGAAGGTGGCAAAGAAATTATGGTAATAGCTTCTGGCTATAGTCATCATTTTAAAACACCAGAGATAATTCACAGTTTATTAAAAATACTTTTACTAAATGTGTTTTTGTGAGTCAAGCCCTACTTGCCAGCCTCTCCAGCTCTATCTTCCACAAGCTTTAGCTCATCTAGAATTTGACAATTTGCATTCTCGCCTCCATTAAGCTTTGTGTGCCATCATCTCCGGCCTGAGCAAACTCCACTCGGATCAACTTTAAGATAATCACTCACGTATAAATATCTACCTGCTCTTGCCACTACCAATCTCTGACCTTCGACAGCCTCTTAGCTCACCCTCCTGATCATCTGATCTGTTCTGAGTTCCTCCCCCCCCCCCCCCCCCCCCCAGCATTCAACACTTCAGCCGCAATGCCTCGATCTATTCTTGCGAAATCCGTCTGCCTCCCTCCCTTGATCTCTTTAAAAGCCTCCTGCTAATCAATCTTTTTAATCTACCTTCAGTCGCCTTTCTTCTCCCCCACATTCCCTGGTTAGTGTCCAACACAATGTCTGTAAAACACTTTGAGAAACATTACCTGAAGGTTGCTTTGTAAGTTGTTTAAACTTTATTTAATTGTGGATTAAATTGCTATATAAATTACACATTATAGCTAAGAATGTTTTTCAAGTATTAGATGAAGGCAAAGAACATTAAACTTTAAAAATGTTCCCACATCTCTGAACAATTTAACCCCTATGCCTTAACTGTTATTATTTCTACTCTTTGAAACGTCCCTATTGACTCCACTCTGCAGCATTCTGGGGCAATACCTTCGACATCTTCACAATCCTCTGTTTAGAAATGCAAATTGAAAAATGCATTCCTTAGCTCTTCGAAAATGCCTATTTCTGGCATGTTTCTTTTAAAATGTTTGTGTGTGTTTTCTTGAGGAAAAATAATAAAATGGACTGGTTTGTGTCCCAGTTTTAGTGTGTTACTTAGCAAATTTACAAATAAACTTGAGAAAGGTCTAAGGGCAGTTAGGATTTTGGAAGTTTCTCTTATGGATGTGCATATCCTCTTTTTGTTGTTGTGGTACTTTAACTTTAACTGTCAGTACGATTTTATTCTGCCAGCGAGTAAGCCTAACAAGGAAACTACTCAATATACTAAACCAGATTATGCAGATATAATGTTGGCTAATATAAACCATTTCCATCGGAATTGCTGGAACTGTGGTTTGTTTAAATAGAGAGGACAGTGAGTTTAAGAGCCACTATAGTTCTTTTTAAGTGAAGTCATACAAGAAGAATGTTTTTTTTACCAAATTTATTCCTAGACTGTCTGAAAGTTATAAAACAAATGTTAAAGGACCAGAGATGGGGTGGGGTAGAAGAGAAATAACTGGTATTTCTCTCTTCAAACGTGTTTAATCTGATGAAAACACAAACTTCGTTCCTTTACAAGTACTAGGGTTTACAGTCCCTCGTCCAACATCTAAAGTCTACAGCTGAAACATTGGTTTCATTTGGAGTTGTTACAGGACAACTCCAGGAGAATTAATGAAAAATGATATATACAGGGTGACCAAAAAGTCACTATACCATTACAATGTCTAATAAGTCTTCAAGAAATGATGATGTATTTTTGTTTAGTAATTATTAAAATAAACGGTATCACGACTTTTTGGTCAGCGTGTACTAGTAAACAAGTTGAGGACATCCTGTTACCAATAGCATCAGCTGTGCCATAACTCTTCCATTTTCTTGCGATTGCAATAAATCTGAAATTGTTGATGGAATTATTAACCCAAGTAGCTTTAATAATAGCTTTGGCTACTTTTGAAAACTAGGCAGAGTCAGAAAAAGTTCTGTTTTTGACTAAAGTATCCATTTTAAAATTTCCAGTCAATTGTATCTGGCGGTGGAAGTGTGTTCCTTCATAGTGGTACAGAATTTTGATCTGTGCGACAGAGGGGTAAGATGCGTCCAATGCCAAAATACCCAACATATTCCAATGACAGCAATTTTGTTTGTAGTTGTGATAGTCAGTAAAGGAAGTTTGGTTATACTGTATGTTACAATTTTAGCACATTGTTTAATTATTCGGTTAAGGAAATCTTCCAGGATGTTACCCATCACTGACATTAGTACATAAATATATATTTTTAAAAACATGGTAGGATATTGTAACTATAATTGTGGAAACCAAGTTATTTTATCTGTTTTAATATTAAATGCAATTTAAATGAATGAACTTCTGTATTATTGCTATATATATACATGATTTGAAGCATGTTCTCTGAATTTAAATGAGCATCTTTAATTTTAAAAGAGTTGTTCAATTTGCTTTGCATTTCATATTGAAGGCTATATTCATGTGGACCAAAAATCTTTCAAATTAAAATTAAAAATGATTCTGACTTAACCGCTACCTGATGTGTAATTCAACTTCTGTACCTGTTTTTGGGAGTTTTTTTTAAAAAAAGTAGCAACCCAAAAGGTTTCAGTTTCAGTCTGTTCTGAGTTAGCTGATCTTGGCCTCTGTGTCTGACTAAGGACAGAGACAAAAATAGAGTATTTGCTGGAGATTTCCGGTGAAAGGATTGAACTTAGCTATGATCCCTACCACTCTTGAAAACTTTATTGTTGAACTAGGTTTGCACATGATAGGTAGTGACATGGGCGAGGTACTAAGGGACAGCACAGTCGAACATTCATCTGCTCTAAATAGCGCAAAGCTAAACAGGGCAGTGCCGTTACCACTGGGCCACTGAGACCCTTTATGATCAATCTCATTCAAGCTTTGAATCAGATCATATTTTGCCACAACTTCAGTTCTTATTTTTGATGGATGCCATGATTAGAGTTATCCTAAGCTTCAGTCTCTCTGTCTGATTAGAAGAGATGCTAAACATTCATTTAATAAGTTAGTGGTGGGGGGTAAAGGTCAGTACCTTTTTTTACATTGGCAGCTGCTCAGCAATTCTGGAGAGGAGCTCTATACTGTCATGTGAAAACAATTAACACTAGAGCAGACTGGGTATGCATGAACCATAAAAGAAAAGATTTTGAGCTTAACCATGCATTACACTGTGGTGAGTTTCACTTGGCAACAGTATTGATTAAATATGGTCAAAGTCTCTCTTTTTGAATGCTTTTTTGTTTTTTGTAACTTTGTGAATCATCTTCATTTGTTCTATATTCGTTAAGCTTCAAGATTGTAATCGTTCTAAACATGTTTTTCTTATTAAATCATAACCACAGTTTTCAACATGTGTTTAGAGTGGTCAGAGAGCTTTCCTCTCATGCATTAATTACTGTATTTACATCCTCTTTCTTCTAAAATAAATTGTGCATGTTCCAGAATAGTTAAAGGATTGACACATTACTTCTGTTGTTGCCAGTTATTCAATTTTCAATTTATGTACCAAAATCTGACCTGTGGTAGTTTAGCATATTCAAATCATTAATAATAATAATAATAATCCTTGCATTTGATATAGCGCTGTTCACGTCGGGAGGACGTCCCAAAGCGCTTCACAGAACACACTGTAAAGTGAATTGACTGTATATTTGTGGGCGAACGCGGCAGCCAATTAAAACAGTAACCATATTGAGTAGAGTTTTACAGGATATGACAGGCTCCCAAAAGCTAGGAAAATTAGTTAATTTTGTAAATCTAGATTCTGTATAAAAAGGTCATAATTACAAGTTTACTGTAAAAGATGGGGTGGGGGGGGGGAGAGATGTGTGAGGTGGTACCTTAAAAGCTCGGTGAATAGATGTGCTGCATTATACTGCCATGTGCAGACTAGAAAAGTCTCTGATTTGTCCTGCTCGCTAATCAGGACTGGAATGATAGTGGAACACTACAATTGGTCTCTGTGTGACCCTGGGAAGGTGGTGATGTCAGGCAGTTTCTGCTGCTGATTACTATCCAGCAACACTTGCTGGGACACATGCTTGTGTCAAGGGTTGAGCTCAGTTGTGATGTCTTCAAAGTCAAGACTTGTACTGGAAGCACAGCCCACGGTAGCAGAGAGCTAATCACGTCAGTTCACAGCTGGCATTATGCATTGAGATGTCGTCTGTGGTTTGTAGTGTATAATCCAGGGCAATGAACAGAAGCCAGTCATTGAGAAGACCTGGAAGCAACTACTTCCAGAACAGCAAGAGTGAAAATCAGTAGTTTAAATAGCAGAAGGAACAATATGATTAGTTTACCTTAAATATTACATTTCTATTCAATTTTTATGGGATTAAACTTTTGCTGTGAGCCTGTCGAACAGTAACTTTCAGAGTTGGCTGGGTTAATTTTTCAAGTGTGCTAACAGGCTTTCACGATGCTTGTGTTAACAAACTGTGGCGACACTGTAGACAGTTAACAGATGTAGGCTCCAGATAGTCTGTCTCTCTCATTTCTATCTCCTCTTCTCCCCCTCCAGCTAACGATTTAGAAATCTGAAACTAAGCAAATATTCTGTCACTTTACTTTATTAATTTCTGCAATTCAGCGATGTATACATAATTAGTTTCATTGTGTATACTAACCTAGCATTTTCAATAGAGGTATGCTATGTAGAATGAGTATGTGTTTGGAATATTTTGCCATAGCTGTTCATATTCCTGTTGCCTATGTATTCTGAATACTTCTAACGAACTGGCTGAAATCAGAAATTTTCCATGAGATGAATTTCAGGTTTCCATGCACTACGGTACAGTGTGTTAGCATTCCAACAGCAGACATCAAAGATCTGTTTTTTGTTGCCTTAAAATAGAACATAAACTACTTAAATACTTTCTTTAGGTGTGATGATCCACACTTGTGGCTTATAATGGTGTTATTTATCCTAATGTTTCTAGACATGGCTGGACAAACATCTGAAGAGATGATTCTGTGCAGGATCTACACCCCCTGGAATTCAGAACTGGTGAATCTGTACACAGAATGCTGCACTGTTTGACCTGAGAAGATGGGTGTTAATGCATCTAACTACCCTCACTCTTGCTCCCAGAGGGTAGGGGGCTCACAGGCTCAGCAAACGTTTATAGGTATGTTCTATTCTAATTAAAAGGTAATCTCACAGTTACTTTTAACTTGTCTGGCTTTTTAGGGCTGATGGCTTGGCAGCATTTTAAGTCTCAAGTCTGCCTTAGATTACTGCAGATCTTCCAGGTTTTGCTAAAATATCTCCTAAGAGACACCACTTACCTTCTCAAGGAGGATGTTTTTGGGCTTGGCATCTGTATCGGGTGAGAGGCTGGACTCAATAGGATTCAAACCAGAAGATTTACTGCCAACTGGCTGAACCACTTTGTCCTAGATCATAATTTGTTAAGCAAAGACCTTTTGTGATTAAAATATCTGGTGTAGCGTTGATGGTTTTGCTTTACCTTGATTGCACTCAATTTTTTTCATTTCTTTTTATTTTGGTTAATCATTGTGACAAGAATATAATATCCTATCGTCCCTCAACCTTCATTTCTCCAGTGTGAATAATCTACTGATTTAACAAATTGCTGACAGTAAGTTTAATTAACCACTTGTATAAAGGTGGTTTGATCGAATAATTTAATTTACATATTTAACCCGTTATTAGTTAACAAATATTTTCCTCTTATGTAATTTTACACATGTCATTGATAAATATTAGTATGAAAGGATGTTTGGTGTATATCACATGGAAACTCTGAACGTTTTCTCTCGCAGGAACATCATCTTACTTGCATCAAGGATACGGATGTGAATCAAAATTATATAGTCTTGACCATAGCCACGAGAAACCACAGGACAAAAAGAAAAAAAGTTCTGGCCTCGCGACACTAAAAAAGAGATTCATAAAAAGGCGCAAATCCAACCGATCTGCTGATCATGCAAAGCACATGCGGGAGCTCCTATCTGGATGGGATGTAAGGGATGTAAATGCATTAGTGGAAGAATACGAAGGCACTGCGGCTTTAAAGGAGCTTGCACTGCAAGGTAATTTGGCTAGACCCGAGTCACGGACGTTGCACAGAGATCTAGCCGATCTTTATGAATACAAGTACTGCACTGATGTAGACCTAATATTCCAAGATACCTGCTTTCCTGTACATCGTGCCATTTTGGCTGCACGGTGTCCATTTTTTAAGACTTTGCTCTCGTCTTCACCTGAGTATGGTGCGGAGATTATGATGGATATAAACACAGCTGGAATAGATTTGCCCATGTTCTCGGCATTGCTACACTACCTGTACACGGGAGAATTTGGAATCGAGGACTCCAGGTTCCAAAATGTTGACATCCTAGTACAGCTTACTGAAGAATTCGGAACTCCAAATTCATTAGATGTTGATATGCGGGAACTTTTTGACAGCATGTGCTATTATGATGCAGTTCTCAGCTTTTCTTCAGATTCTGAGTTGGTAGAAGCATTTGGAGGAAGCCCGAGTTGTTTAGACGAGGAACTTTGTGGGCATAAAGCGATTCTTTCTGCACGTTCTCCATTTTTCAGAAACCTTCTCCAAAGACGAATAAGAACTGGTGAAGAAATCACAGATCGGACTCTACAGACTCCAACTAGGATCATACTAGACGAGTCGATCATTCCAAAGAAATATGCAAAAGTAATTTTACATTGTATGTATACTGATTTAGTAGATTTGTGTCTGGTGCTGCACTGCAGCCCTTCTGTAGGGAGTCTGAGTGAAGTTCAGGCATTGGTTGCAGGAAAAGGCAACATGTCGAGGGCTGAAGAGGCAATGGAGCTTTACCACATAGCCCTTTTCCTGGAATTCAACATGCTTGCTCAAGGTGAGTTTGTGCTCAATGTACTGAAATTTAACGAAATAAATTGAGTGCGATTCTTTGATTTTCTTCTAATTTACAATGAATTTGAAGTTGATGAGAGTCGAATACTTCTACGTTTCATTTCAATATGAACTATAAATTTTAGATGTTTTTCTGGTATACACGTAGCTATTCGTACAAAGTGCCAACCTGTGGCAACTAATCCCACACAATCTATTTCTGGAGCAAAGAAGCTTGCACATTTGTGTTTTTGAACTCCCTTTTATCTGAAGGAGTTGCTATTTTTAACTTTGGATAACTCAGTTACAAGTCATCATTGTTTACACTCCCAATGTCCTAAAAGCTTGTAATGTAACAGGCCTGCTTCATTTGCTTTTCTACTTTACGTGCTGTTATCTTGTTTGCTAACTCTAGTCTTAAGGTAGAAGATATTCCTAAGAATGTCAATTATTCTTGAGATTACAGCTGAGATCCAGTTGTAGCAATGCTCGAGTGGGGAAGTTGAAAATTGGCAAAGAGGCAATCTCAAAAATAGACTATTATTCCACACATCAGCGCTCATTGTCTTTTAACTGATCACCAATTTCTGCATTGTACGACGAGGCTTTTTCTCATGCTTCCAAATTCCCATTCTTCCTCCTGCCCCAAGTCCGAAATACTGTCAGAATTAGGCCATACTTCTTCAAGTTCCAACATAAGTGACCTTGCTTGTTGGTTTCCACTTCACAATCCTTCCACACCAATCTCATTTACAAGAAATGTGTTTGAGGTTTGGGAGTGTCTAAATGAGAAGTAGTAGAAATAGAGCAGACAGAGCAATATTCACAGGATATGATGTAAAGAGTAGTGACGGAGGGCTCTTGTTTAATAAAAATCGGTAACAAAATATCTGGAGAGAAGTTAAGAACTTAAAGTATGATAAATTAACTGGAGCAATGAAAAATATTGTCTTATTGATTCATTGGTTAGTCCAGTTCTGTTCTAACATTAAACACAGAAAAAAATTGACTGGGTTTGTCATTAAAAAATAAAAATTGATCATTTTCTGTTAAACGTTAAGATGGTATATCAGATTTTTGTAGATAGTTTAGTTGCTGCTGGGACATTTGCACCAATCTATTTGATTCACTAGATGCGACTGAACAAATGTATATGATCCAAGGAGAAATATTTCTGGAGTGTGGAGAGTAAATTGTACAATTTGGAAGTGCTAAACTACGTGTGCAGTGTGGGATGTGGATAGTGAAAGAACAAATTGTTTTGGTCAGGAAAATTATTCTATAAAGAAGCTGCGGTGCACATTTTATGAGCAGACACGAAAGAAACTGACGCAGTGTCTGTCGAAAACTGTTTTCAGTTACGCTGACAGCAGATCTTTACCCCGATGAAAAACAATTGGGGCAGAATGTTCATCACATGAATTTCAATTAGTTTTTTTCCAATTTAATTGTTTTAAATTCTTTACTGTTCCTAAATAGAGATTCTTAATTGCACTGTTTTCCCGACTGTCAAAAAAAGTAATTCTGGAAACAGTCAGCATTTTCAAAGTTTAGGCTAGATTTATTTAGGAAGTAATCTGATACAACCATTTCCTCTGAAATGAAGCAGTCACGTCATTGAAATGCAGGATATTTTTTCTTTGGCAAGCTTTCGTAAAAACCGTATGAGAATAAAATTGCAAATATTTTGTGAGGGGAGCATTTATAATCACTACAAAAATGACAACCGTTTCTGCTTTACGATAATAAATATTCCTTGTTCTATATTTGCCACAAAAACATTACATGCCAAATATCCGAAATTCTACAACTCTTCTACATTCTACAGCTCCGGCCCTGCTCCAGGTTTCCTGTCCTACCATCGGCAGCCAGGCTTTCAGCCTCTCTGCCCCCAATCTTTGAAACTCCATCCCACAATCTCTCTGTCTCGCCACCTTCAAGACCCACCTCAAGACCCTCCTCTTCAATAGTGCTTTCGATCTCCCTGTTTTCCTCCCCCTCCCCCCCCCCCCACCAATCTTCCCTGACCTTCAGCTCAGGTCCGTAACTCTGTCTGTCCAACACCTTGTGACGTCCTCCCGACGTGAAAGCACTATATAAATGTAATTTTGTTGTTGTTTCCCTTCCTCACTCCCAGCTCAGGTACCAAGCCATTATTGATAAGCGCCTTGGTACGTCCTCTCAATGCGAAAGGCACTACATAAATGTACATTTGTATTGTAATTCATTTTCAATACTTCACGGACCAAGTTCTGGAGATCGATTGCAAGTTTATATGCAGCAGTTTTATAAATCGTACAATAATCTTCACCAAAATCTTATATTGAGTTGTGATAAACATGTTTTTTATTCAAGGGAATTTATTACATTTCCCTTATTATGCATTAATTAGGTTTCTCCCCAGAGTAGCTTTTAATGCTAATAAATAGAATTTAATGGTCTGTCCTTTCATTTATTAATAGATTTACATATTAGTTGGTATTAGAAATATCATTTTGATTTTTGTTTTTAGGTTGTGAAGATATTGTGGCTGAGAGCCTTTCCCTGGATACCTTAATTTCCATTCTGAAATGGAGTTCACAGCCTTACGGCTCCAAATGGGTTTATCGCCAAGCACTTAATTTCCTATGTGAGGAGTTCAGTTCAGTCATGATCTCAGATGTGTTCTTTGAGCTCAGCAAGGAACACTTGCTTGCTGGCCTTCAGTCAGACTATTTGCAGGTAATTATATTATGCACGTCTTTAAACAGAAATAGAGGTAAGAAACAATAATGTCACTTGTGGAGGTCTTAAAATGCAATGCCAAAGAACCTGTCAAGTGATGTTTGTCCTGTTTTGTTTTAAAGTAACCTCTCACTCCATAACAATATACTTCACATTATACTTGTGGAGTATAAATAGCTGTACATTCTTTTTTAAAATGGATTTGTTGGAAAGAAATCACTGAGAGATAACATTTTGATCTTCATTAGCATTGCTGGAAACCTCCATTTATGGAAACTTGTCATTGATTGTGGAAGGTTCACAGTTTGTGTTGTATTGGGAAGTTCCCTTAAATTTAAATGATAGGCAGGATTCAAGTGTGTTATTAATTTCTTTTCACCTCACATGTACATTGTTTTATTTAATAGTTTTGTGTTTTTCTCTCTTGGTCTTGTGTGTCCAGCCTCCACCTCTGTCAAACTGGAGAAGAGTAAAATTTCCCATTCACGGATTCCATTATAACCAAATTTAAGTAAAATCCTAGAATAATTGCATTAACACCATGAATGTGAGAAATGTTAATCATAGACCATACAATGCCACTACTAAAGATGCTTTTCATAATTTTCAGTGTTATTTCAAAAATGTTCAGTAATAGTATAAATTTGTACAACGTCTGATTTAAGCAATCGGTTATAAAAGAATACTACCCATTGAGACTTAGTCCTGCGACTTTGCAGCGTAATTTGTTGTCTTTGTTGTTGTTGTTGGACTTCAAAAATAGATTTATTTAGAAACTTTTGAGCAAAGTGTAGCTGCTTTTGTAATTGGATAGACACAGCAAGTCAGGAGTGTGCTCTGTTCTGTTTGTTTTCTTGCCTACATATCTTTGCCAGTTGCCCTTTTCTATTTAGTTATTTCCAAGCTAGTCTAGCATTCCTTAGTTTTGAATAATATTGGAGCAAGAACACTACCTCTCTTGTCACATTCAGTTAGAGGTAACGTTTATTTGATGGGGTTTCCTGTTAAGCACCAGGTCTCTTTTTACCTCCTGCAACAAAGTGTGCTTTCTGCTACTTTTTAAAAAAAAAACACTAAAATAGAGGAAGAATAAGTTTCATTGTGTTTCATTTTTCTATCTTAAGCAAAGAGCAAACAACTTTTGACAGTAGTTGAAGGACTCCAGATATTTCAAGTATTGCAAATTTATTCCTGTGCCGCATGTGGCATTTTTTTCTCTCCTTCCCCATCTCTCAATTTCATTGAATTAAGATGTTGAATCTTTCTGGTGAGTGTTACAGTTGAGAATGTTAATTGGTCATGGCGAGTTGCAAACCCATGAAAGTATTTAAAGAGTAGATCTAGATTATTTATTATAATGCATTGGAGGTTGACATGAACACAGGAATAATTGGGGACTGCGAAACTTTCTTTTCACTTCGCATATCCAAATTGGCTGGGACCCTGGAGAGAAACCCGTTTCCCTTTTACAGTATAATATTGAAATTTGTTTGGTGAAGTCATCCTATGCTATGAGCTTGAGTCTCGATGTGGGGCCTGAACCCACAATGTTTTCACACGTGTGAGAGAGTACTGAACCAAATTAACACAGAAGATTAGAAAAATCTTGCACTCCTCATCAGAGTTGATTGTGAATTGTTCATTGCTTTATATTGAAATGTAAATCCTTGATGTGTCCCCACCAGAATTTTCTCTCGAATTATTTTTGGATTTGCTGGTGTTGTGGCAACTTTCTCTTCTCCTCTCCCCAGCTTGAAAAATACTATGTAAATGTTTTCTTCATTGTTGCTCGTATATCATTTCAAAATAAGCAGTTGGGAAAAGTCTGCTGCTGCCAAATTAGTTGCAGTGCTCAGTCTTTGGAAAGTATCCAGAACTCCGGAATTGTTTTTAGGATGGGAAGGTGTCTAAATCAGAGTACTGTAGTTGCTGAATTTACATTTGCTGAAGTATTGACAAATGTATCGAATTGGTCCTGAAAAGTCCATATAAACCTCCAGTTACTAAACTAACAATCAAATAAATTAATGCATTTGTTTGAAGAATAAGTTTAAATTGTGTGGATGTGTGGTTAATTGGAGAGCAGCACACTTTTCCCAACTGCTTATTTTGAGATGATATACGAGCAACAATGAAGAAAACATTTACAGTATATTGTGTGAAGCGCTTTGAGATGTCTGGAAGACGTGACAAGCACTATATCAAATGCAAGGTTTATTAATATTATTGTTTGTTTTTACAGGCCAGCGAGCAAGATATTCTCAAATATGTTAATAAATGGGGAGAGCACCAGCTCATAAAACGTATGGCTGATCGAGGTGAGAATATTTTTATAAATGATAATCCAAATCATATTCTGGAAATATAAATTTTGGCTGAATAAAATGGAGGAATACGATTGCTGCAAGACATGCAATTATTATTCAAACGTTTATGCAAGTTTAAAAAGGACCATTTTTCTTTTAAACAGATCTTCAATGTACAATCATCTCACTTTCTCTTACCCACCCCTCTCTCCGCTCCAATCAGAGGATCTATCCTTATTTGCAGTAATGTCAATGTTTTGCAATCAGAATTTTATTCCAAATGGACATCTTTATGTGCTTGATTTATATATTTGTTTGCACAAATGCATCTATTGAATGCAAATTAAATATTTATAGCATTTACATTAGATAATTGTGGGTTAGTAATTTGAATTGGGTGCAAATTGAAGTTCTCTATCTATCAATTAACCCGGAATAACATGAAAATAAATGGCTCAGACTAAAACGATAATCTGAATTTAATCCAAAAAAATTCTAAAGGATTTACATTTGTTAATTTGTATCTGACCCAGATTTAAGCTGTTCTTTCCTCATTGAACCCCATGAGGCATGAAGGTCTAGAAAATAAAATGGCTCCTACTAATAAGATCATCTGGATTGAATCCAAATGGAAATAATTGTTCTACAGGATTTATGTTTGGCAATTGTGATCTTGTAAAGTGGTTCTGGCCCAGATTGGAGCTTTCTGTTCCTCACTGAACCCAGAAAATTCTGAAATTCTAGAAAATAAAATGATTCATGTAGTTTTAAATGACGTTTGGAAATTAATTCCACACTTATTAAGATTTTAGGGACAAAAAGCAGTTTTTTAGGGACACCAGCAGCTATTAAAAAACACTGGTATGCTCGCATGTGATATTCAAATTTATTTATAGCTCATATTGATACTTTAAGAGTACTTTGTTATACGATCATTCAGTAAGTAAAACACTTAATTTTTATTCAGAAGTGTATTCAAAATTAATGCATTAAAATGTGCAAAAATAATGGAACTTCTAGATTTTGCTGGTTTTGTCTCCTCCGGGTTGCAAAGCAATAAGATGTTGATGGAACGCTGCACTCAGTCATTTCAAAGATCCAGAACGAATGTGCATTTAAAAATTATATCAAATGCTTCCCGTTTTCACGGGAAGCCAACATACAGGCGTAGGAATGTAACAAATGCATTTCATTTCAGCAGTAAGTGCCTTCAGTAATTTCCCCTGAAACAATCTTGGGCTTTGTGTTGCACTGAAATTGCACTAACATTTTTGTTGCATTGGATTCTCTCAGCTGTTGCTGAATCAGAATTGATACAAGTTCTTTTGCTTAAATATTATTACTGATTAAAGTTTGTACTGCACTGAGCAGTAGACTATAAAAACCTACATTGAAACCTGATGCCTCAGCTCTTGCTGAATAAAGATGAACTGCTTCCCTGCTCTCTATACCTCATGCAGATATGACGGTTTCCCCAACTGAGATGTTCTGAAATTACAACAGGCATTTTTTCGAATTCCTCTGGCAAGGAAGATTGAGGTTTAGCCAAATTTAGCCTCACTAACTTGAACCATTTCTATTAGGCAGCATGGTTTAACTTCTGCAAAGTTGATTCCTGCTATTTGAAAAGCTTACATTTTCTGTTATTTTTCTCCAAGTCTGTGGGCTGAAATCACATACAATGAATATTACAGTAATGTAAAGGGTTGAAAGATTAATTCAACCAAGAAATGTGAATATGTGTCAACCAGGTGCAAATGCAGTTAGTCAAGCATCGCATTGATCAGAACATTTGAACATGACTTGGCTTTCAAAATAGAAGCCATTCTATGAATAATTGGCTTTTCCATAGCATTTGGAATAATATTATTTCATTTTGACAGTACTGACAAACAAGTTTTGGTATAAATAGAATCTGTATCTTACCTTGTGCCCCACGCAACTTAAAAACTTCTCCTTGTTTTCAAGAACCGAACCTGTTGAGTGGAACTGCCCACAGTGTAAATAAGCGAGGTGTGAAACGACGTGACCTTGACCTGGAAGAACTGAAAGAAACCCTGTCTCCTCTCCTGCCTCATGTTCGCATAGATCATATTCTGCCCACAAACAGCGAGGTTCTTAGTGATACTGTACGTTTAATGTTTCCTCCTTTTAAAGGGCAAATGTCAATGTCTGAATTCAAAGTATTTTCTATAAAATTTAAAAACCATAATGCATAATAATAATCCTTGTAATTGAAATGATTCCTGAGACAAGAAGATTCAAGATGTCTTTTAAGGCGTCTATTAATGCTTCTCTGTTAATGCTTCTCTGAGTATCTCACTTAAGTGGCCGTTTTGTGCGTTGGCAAGTTATACAAATGTCAGAGCTGGGGGGAAGGAGAGAAGAGGAGGAATACAGACAGTTCTGATCTTGCCTCACATGCACGCACAACTTTCAGCAAGGGTCTCTGGTTTGTAGTCTGTAGGGAAACCTGGCTGACCCCTTTGTAACTCAGGTGCTAAAGCCTATGTACTACTCACAATTCAAGTCCAGTGGTGTATCATTTACAGCTGCTCCAAGTGGGCAATAAAACTAACTAAAGCAGTGGATTTTTGTTTTTGCCTGAGTTTTCCTTTCCTTTAACGTTTTCTCTCCGAAAGAGAAGGAAAGGACTACAGATCAGATTACTGTATTGCTCTTGCTGTGCAGGTAGCCAATAAGAAAGAGCAACCTTTAAAACTCAATGAACTAATTTTTTAAAGGAATAAAATGTTCATGATGTGTAAAGACACAAAGGCATGCTGTTTTATAGCCTACTCTTTTCCTCCCCATTACTGCACACCAACCTAACAAAGCCAGACTCCCATGTTTGTCTTATTGGATTACCAATGGCCCCGATGTTACAGGAAGCAGGGAAGAGAAGTGGTTTAATTTAATACTATGTGAAAACACTCTTCTCTCATTGTGGAGTATAAATGGTTTTGGCAACTCCACATCATTGATGAGGGAAAACTGTTCATTTTAGGGAACGTGAGTGAGCTTGCAATATTCTACCCCATTGAGATTTAGTAAACTTGTATTGCATTTACAGTGTTCTTGTTAGAATAGGAAGAGGAATACAATTCCATATTTCAGTTTGAAAATACTATATTTCAACTTGTGTGCATTGATCCAATTTATGTAGTGAGAATGAGGATTATTGACCAATATTTTAACGTGCAGTTAACATCCACTTTTGTTGTGCAGATGAAGAGGGGCCTGATCAGCACACCACCATCTGATATGTTGCCTACTGCTGAGGGTGGGAAGTCTAATGCTTGGCTACATCAGAAAAATGCTGGGATATATGTCAAACCTCGCTTGTTTTCACCATATGTGGAAGAGGCAAAGGTATGTTTACAAAAGTATCATAAATCCTATATCTGACTACCATCACAGTTCCCTTGGTCTACCAGACTAGGAAAATGTGTCTGACATTTCAATAGATTATTGGTCAGAGTTTGGTGGAGTTTTTAGATACGATAGTGTTTGGATTGTTTTTTTTCCCCCTAAATATCATCAAATTGACATTGCCACTTGCTGTATCAGTAACTCTTGGAACACTTCATTCAAATCTTAGGTTTCAGTGGGCAGTGAATATACTTGGAACCAGATGCAACTTCAAGAAACTTTTAATGGATTTGTTCTAACATATCTGCTGTGTTCAAGGCTCACTGAAGCAATGCTTAACAAGGTTTTCGTTCAGTGGTTTCAGTAATAAGAGGCTGAGTAGTGGAGTGTTTTGAATGTGGGTCTTTGCCCATAATCCTGCAGAATCTGCTTGCAGTCTGTTAGAGCAATATGGGGAGAAGCATTGCCACAGGGAGGGCAGGATAAACAAGAGATGATGAGTACCTTAGCTTACTGGTGCCAAGTAATCAATTACTTGTTTCTACCCCCCACCCCCTCCAACCGCCCTCCATTGGATTGGTGTCTGATGAGGGCAGTCTCATAAGAGCATAAGAAATGCAAGGTGAAAAAAAAACAAGGTCCATCTAGTTTGTTTTCCACCTTCCTGGCGGTGGCATGCGCATATGTCCCGAACTACCTATGCACTATATCCCATAATGTTATTTCCTAAAAGAAAACTATCTAATCTATGTTTGAAAGAATCAATACTTCCAGCTTCAACTGTGTCCCTAGGGAGCCTGTTCCACAGGTTCACTATTCGCTCACTGAAATAGTGTCTGCATAGATTTATTCTGAATTTACCTACCCCCCTTCAATCGCAGGCTGTGTCCTCTGGTTCTACTATTCTGGACCATTCTCCATGAATGGTAAAATGTAAGAAAATAACTTTGGAAATATGCTTCATTCTTCAAACAAAAAAAGCTCACTCAACCTGTCAGCTGGAAGTAGGCTTAATATCGAACATTGAAAATGTTCAGGCATCTGTGCGTGGTTTTGAGGTGACCTCTGCATTTGTTTCCCAAGATACCTTTTATTTTGCTATTAGTGCTTCAATTCTCCTTTGTTTGATTTTATTATTGTATTTGAAGTATTTAGTTTACTTGTTTCTTGACTCCAGACTTTGATTTGCTTTCTGTACACAGACTGTTTTAGATGAGATGATGGTGGAACAGACTGATCTAGTGCGGCTACGCATGGTTCGCATGTCCAATGTACCTGATACCCTTTACATGGTCAACAATGCTGTACCTCAGTGTTGCCATTTAATGAGTCACCAGCACGTCAGCTCACTGTCCAGTCCTCCTTCCATCATTGCCAATGAAGTGCCTGGTAAGTTGTGTGTTTTGTGTGTTGTGGGGTTTAACTAAAATATTCGTGGCATTTCTTTTCATCTTTTTGAAGTATTGCAGTTGGTGTTTTTTTTTTTCTTTTCCCATTAATACCAGATGGCTCGGTGAAAGTCAATCCATTTAGCAGTTCGGTCGGTGAATCTCATATCCAGCATATTCTGAGTAATGTGCTCTTACACACCGACTAACAACTGCTAACTTTATACAAACTCCTTCCGCTTTGACTTTGAATAGATACTGTGTAACTGTATTAACAACTGAGCAACTCCTTGCAACGTGTAAGGACCCAAAATGACAGGTCTTCACATGGGGTTGAACATAATATTAAAACTACAAATATCCAGTCATGTCGGAATGCGGGTTTTCAGTATTTTGTCATTACCTTGACTTTGTTGGGGCGAAAGCGTATTTTATATTTTAAGCACGGTTTTCTTTCCGCTTTCTTTGTTCAGAATTATTAATGAATTTCACTCAAATATTGTTACTTTTCAGTCCCTTTGTTGGGAATGGTGAAAGAAATGATCAGACGGCTGCAAGAGCTTCGACACACAGATCAGGTGCAGCGAGCCTATGCACTGAATTGTGGAGAAGGAGCAACTGTCAGCTACGAAATTCAGATTCGTGTTTTGAGAGAATTCAATATCCCTGATACTGCTGTTGAACTGCTTCAGGTATTGGGAATATGATTGATTTCTTAGAGTCGAAGTGGAATATTTTATAGTGATTGCTCTTCCATCCTCGCGATCCAAGTTGACTTTTGAAGAGCGATATTATTACAGGTTGCTTTTTAAATTCTACAGATGTTTTCTGGAAACTAGGGATTAAATATGTTAAAGATCGGGCGTGTAAATTATTTCACTTCACTACTTCATATTTTGAGTGACATGCCATTTATGTAGTTTGTCGAGATTTGAGTGTTGCAATAAAAAAACTGCTTAATCAGGATACTGTATTTGCTTCATCTTGTTAATTATCTTCAGACTGTATATGCTATTGTTGAATTCCTGGTAAGAGAAAGGAACTGAAGTGTGTAGTGAAGCAAAGGAGCCTAAGCACATAGACAATGGATTATTTGGGTTGAATAGTCTGTGCCATGCTGTATCATTCTCTATTATGGAGATAACTTCACAGCAGGTTTGGAGTACTAATGTATTTTTTATTTGATCTCAACAGAATCCTCATAAATTCTTTCCCGATGAGCGATTTGGTGATGAGAGCCCGGTGCTGGTCACCCGTCAGTATGCTCGCTGCAGAATAAACAGTACACCAACCGGGGAATACAGCGATCTTGAGCCTTACGCAACTTTCCACCCACCTTTACCACCTCCGCCGCCACCTTACCATCCTGCAGCTGCACCGGCTCATGAGAGGCGTAAGGCAGAATGGAAGCAGAGGCTGCCTGGCCATCAGCCGTCCCGGTCCTATTCCTACCCTTGTCACCACTCCGCGCTGCATTCTGGGCTTGTCGCCAACCCCGTTTCTGTTGTGTACCCAGCTGGTGCCAAACCAATGCCTCCCGATTGCACTAACACGCTGGGGTGTGTCAGGATACCGGCTGAACAACTGACGGTAAGTTCCAATTTCCCCAACAGTTGTGTTCTCACTAAGGGAAACGTTAAAAAAAAAAGTCTTTTAATTTTTTTTAGCCTCCATACGTTTATAATGCCATCCATATGTTTTATACCCTTATGACCATTGGCAGGTTTGGGGAAATTGTTATCCCTCTAGGCCAGCGAACACCATGATTAAGGATTTATCCATCAATTAATAGTGATATTGCAAGAGTTAAGTTAAGCTTCACAAATGTTCGAAATGCTGTGGCTTTGTTAACATTTTTATTTTTAACATATTAACCCTACACTTTGCCGAAGTTTCTGCTAAATAACAGAGAAGTGAAATGTACTTTTTTTTGTCCCTTAACTGAACAACTGCAATATGTGGGTTTTAAAGAGGAGAGGAAAGTGAAGAAACGCTGCACTAAATTCATGCACACATTATTAGTCAAGGTTCCCCCGGTAGTGTACACACAGCTCCGAGAGAGTAGATGCAGTTAAATGGAGCAAAAGGTCATTTTGGTTAATTGAGTTACCTCCATTCAATAAACCATATTCATGTTCACTTTTCTTAGGACATAAAATAAATTGGGTAAACCATTTAGAGCTGAAATTTCACTCTTACTTGCTTAGGGTTTCAAGTGAGAACTCGGGATACAAGTAATTTAAATTATTCATCTGATTGGTTGCTTTCTGCAGGATGTTACCATGGTGCCAAGGAGAATGGGCACATAATAATATTAATAATAATACTTGCATTTGACATTGGTGTGTTAATGGACCACAATCTGTTTAGCTTTATCTTAATGTTTCAGAGATTGATATTTACTGTGGGTCGTTTTACAAACTTGTATTCTATTGCTTTTTTTCCATAGAACACAGAAAGTATGCTCAATGAGCTCATGCCAGATATTGCCATGGGCGTGTCATCCTTGAGTAATCTCTCACTCAAGGACAGGAGGCTTCCAGAACTGACTTTCAATGTTGAAGTGAACCAAGTGATTTCAGAACCTGCATCATCTGCCCAGCCTGCCCTGTATGTACATAATAGGCATGTGCATGGTGTGAGGAAAAAGCCCAGTATGGAGCTCAAAATGGATTCTCGAGAAGGCCTTCAGGAGTATCCGGATCTATATGACTTTTCTTCCAGTGCAGCTCACCGGCCATGCACTCCAGGGTCCAGTAGACACACTCCTTCTCCTTCACAAGGAACGTATTTGGGACCGGACCTGTACAGTCACAGTAGACCAGCAACAGGTGGTCTCAAAGTAGCATCTTTTTGCAGTGACATTTCCCCCAAAAAAACAGAGGAGCCCGTGAGGGACTACTTGCTGCCTCCTGAGGTTCATCAGCAAAGACCCAGTGACCCACCATACTTTGATTTCTTGGAGCACCCTCCACACAGGTTGGACTTGGCACTGTTACAAGAATCAAATGGAAGTTCACTACATAGAGGTAGGAGTGGAGCAGAAACAGACCTGACTTGTGGCCTGACAGCAAATCGAGCTCTGAGTGGAGCGTGCAACTCTGAGAGTCATGAGGCGATTTGTAGAAGATCGGATGAGAGCGGGATGCTTGAGCCCGGAGTCAGTGCGCAGTCCCAAAGGAACATTCAGAACGAGAGGGAAGATGCAATAAATCGAGAGAGGCGGTCGCCAAGCAGACTTGATCTGCCATACAAAAAATCTGCTCTTTAATGGCAACAGTATTTAATGTACCTTATTTTTTCACCAGATAACGCCATTATTAATATTTGCTTTCGTAAATGTTTTGTAAATAACCATTTCTACCAAAACTATTTCTAGATAGTTTTCTATGACTTTGTGATAACTCGGGAGAGCAGCTCTCACACCAGTATTGCCATTCTTTCTAGCATTTAAACAGTTTGCGAAATAATAAGTGTTTGCCATTTGAACCATTCGGAGCCTGATCTTTTACCTCCTTTTTACAGGTTTGTAGGATTTGGATTTGTTGTGTGCAGACTAAATTAACAAAGGCTCTGCAATGTCTTAATAGTGATCCATTCTGTACTTTTGAGAAATCCTCTTGCTAATATCTGACAGCATTTTTGAGTATTTTTAAAATGTTAAAAAGGTCAGAGAGTATTCTCTTAGCATTGGGATTCTTTATAAAGGGACAATTTTCTACTGGCCAACTGCTTGTATTCAGAAAGAGCAGATCCTAATGAATCTGAAACAGTCATCTTAATCTTAGGACAATCAGATTGCTGTGACAATCGGTTTATAGGATTAATAATCTCAATATATGGGGAGAAGCTGAGTTCCAAAGGCCAGAATACTGGCAGCAAGAGTGAGTCGCTACCGTTCCATCTGAAGTTGCTGTGTAACTAACACCCATTGTTAATCACCGATCTATAGTAGAATAACTAAAACTGTTTGGCCTTTTTCCTAATGTCATTTGGTCAGTTGGCTGCTTCTCAGATTCTGGTTGGCTGGCAAATACCCGAGTGATTACTGTACAACTGGGAAAGCTGGAATATTATTGGTTTGATTAAATTCTATTTACATTCCTACATTAGTAGGGTTTGCATATTGCACATTTTCAGACTTGTGGTCTCGTTACAACTAACTAGGCCTGATGAGAACTTCAGGCTTAGTCTCCAGAAGTTGGTCAGTTCCAATATTACTTTCACTCTTAACTGTTCTGTAGTCTGTAAAATGGGGTTGAAGCTGTTACATGAACCCTCAAGGCAGGGTAAACCTATATAGATATATATATATATATTTTAGCTGATGCATGTCATTGCAGCTCTATTTACCTGGTATGCAGCTTCAAGATTGCGTACAGAAATGTTCANTTTTTGAGCTTATAGCTGTTGATTATTTAGCATATTAGTAACCAAGTATTGATTTGTAATTTTACAGTAGATGCTTTAAACTTTCTTTCAGATCCACAGCTGTAGCAGTGGAGTTGTGCACAGCTTTGTTTCCTTCTTCATTTACCTTACTGTTTAAATGGCATTTATGTGACAGATTTTGCACAAGTGTACACAATTAGAATTAAAACAGGAGAGATAGGACAGCACAAAGTATTTGAGTGCAGAATCTAATGCCACAGGAAGCTGAGGGTAATTGATTTGTCAGCCAGTGTTGCTATGCAATCTTATGAGCTGTTTAAAACTTACTACAGCAAGTTTAAAATCTTTTGAGTTAGGATTCATGGAGCATTACACATACAGCATTGGCTAAGTATACTAAAATTAAAGTGGAAAACTTAAATTCTGGAATGTCTTGTATCACCATGCAGTCAGTAATGTTGTTTGTGCTTCAGGTACATTGCTTCCAGGTATTAGATCATTTAAAACGAGTCTTGCTGCGACTCCCTAGTTTCAGAATGATGGAAATCATGGAGAAAAACGGTTTACTGGCTTCCCTTACCAAGGTGTGGCTTCTAATTATGGCACTAAATATTATCAGACTTTTGATTTTTTTTTACATTTTTAAAAAAAGGCTACAGCGCACAGCTTTCATTTGAAAATTCCAGAGATGTTCATGCCTGCACAGTTACACAGAATTAACCCTCAAATCTCGGTTAGCCCAGGATAACACTTTGTATGAATCTTTTTGTCCCAATCTGCAGCAGAGCATCTGGAGCTGCCTGACGGGTTGGTATGTGTAACTTTTTCCCCAGTTTGCATGCTCTTTAAAACCACAGCTGCTTGTTACAAATTAACTTTGAATGTTGAATATTTTTATATAAATATTGGAAAATCTGGTTGCATAAAGTTGAATTTGTCTGGTAGCAAAACCTTTTTAAATGTGCATCTGTTTCTTTCAATGGTTTGCTTTGGATTTTTACGATCTCTGCTATCTCAACCTGTTACTGGGATGAAGTAAAGTGCCTTCAATAGTAAAGGCTCATGTCTCAGTAATTTTGGATCAAATGTCCTATGCAAGTGATTTCTACAGCCTGCATAAACATCTTTGTAGATTCTACTATGCTTCAATGTACATAGTTTTTAAAGAGATGGACTGTATTTTTATTTTAGCATCTAAATGGAAATCTGAAGTTGTGATTGCTCAGTAAAGAATCTCCCTCTTGAGTACTATGGCAGTTGTACAGAATCTTTGTTATCTATTTTTCTACTGTTTCTGGGAAGAAGCATGTAACAAACCAAACTGGCAGAGTTGGTATTTCAAATAAATGGCCTATAGAAAATGCATGTCTTGTTCTTACATTTCCAGTTTTTCCTTCCCAAATATCTGGTGAAAGGATTAACACTGCAAATCGGGAACCTTGGTATTTTCTCTACAGACTCAAACTCAGATACCAAAGTAACCAAACATTTTATTGGTAGTTACATCAGTCAATGATCCCACAAGTGAACATTATTCTTGCTAATAGAGCAAATTCAAGCTGGCTTCTGACATAAGCATTTGTGCTAGACCTGCCTGCTAGCTTTAAGATTTGAATTGAAGCTGCATTAAAAATGACTTAACAAAAGGGTTTGCAGCCATCATAGCAAAGTCACCAGATAATACTGTGGTTTAAAAGGTCATATGCCACAGCATTTTTTCCTAGTAAACTAGCACAGTATGTTAAACCAAAATGCAGAGAGAAACAATCAGTTAAAGGCTATTTCTATTTTATGGTGTAAACCAGTCCATGACTGAATATCCAGCCACTTTCAAGTGAAGTCTTTATCCACAACAAAAGGGGTATCATTCAGGACATTACTAGAAACTACTTTGACTAGCTAATCTAGTTGAGCAGTAATTACTAAAGCATAGTAAATAAGATTCAGCTTGTTCAGTAATAAATTCAGCAATTGCCACAATGCATATTGGTTGACAAAAGGATGAAACTAAGATTGATTTTGTTTCTTTCCCCTTAATCAAAATCCTGAAGGTACCAATTTATGTTGATTATTCCACTTATGCCCTCGAGTACTACACCTTTAAGTGGGAGCCCAATCTGTACAACACTTTCTGTAAGGTAAATAATCAATTTATCTGGGGATTTGTTGGCCAGGATACTGGGAGAAAAGTTTTAAACTTCCACCTCAACAGTGGCTTTTAACAATGCAACATTAATAATAACCCTCGCATTTGATATAGCGCTTTTCACGGTCTTCTCGACGTCTCAAAGCGCTTCACAGAATAGACTGTAAAGTGAATGGATTGTATATTTGTGAACATTTTCTTCAGTCCCCACCCCACACGCAGCACTGGAGTGTCAGCCTTGCGACTGAGCAACAATACCACCGTGTTGCATGCTTTTAAAGGGCAAACCCCACATGTACAAATATTGAAGTGCAAAGATTAACCAGCTGATGCCTCGTTACTGGGAGAACTTTTTTTTAAACTGAATTATTTTCATAACTGCTACCTTTACAGATGAACAGGAAAGAGAAACACTTTTTAAAAAAAAATCAACAGTCCCATATGTTGCAGATTATTCTATATGAATTTAGTTCAAAAGCACCTGCTAATGTGCATACATGGTACAAGTTACTCATTTCTAGTACAGTTAGTTCACTCTGCCAGATACCTTACTTTTTGTTTTTAAAAATCAGCATATTTACTGGTTATTCTCTGCCTCCTACACCTTTGCCAAAATTTCAAACGATCCTTCCTCGACTGGAGATAATGGGAGGCCGTACACTTAACAGAACTGAACATGAAATCGTAAGAGGGAAAATTAAAGCACTTGGAACAACGACTTATTTTCTAAAAGCGCCTTTGTGACTGACTGAACCGTCCACTGTTTCACATCTGCACATCTTGATTGAGCACTATATTCTCCAATTTAACTGCAAAAGTACTGCATTCCATCCACTCTCCGCCGCTTCTTTGACTGAAGTTCTTCAAAGAATCGTTGGATATCTTGACTTGTCACCACCTGTTGGGATATATGGGAGAAACATTGCTTTAACAATTCAGCAACGTCTCTAATGCAAATGAATCATTCAAATTCTCACACTGACCAGCAAGGGTTGGTTCCGGTGGCAACGCATTCAGTTACAAGAAATCACAAAGCAGGAATCCGAAAAGGCGATTTACACCAGTTAACCGGTCCTTTGTACAGGACACATTCCCACTACACATCCATACTGCTGCTGTGGCTTTCCTGTCACTTTAGGTCCATTTGAAAGTTACATTGCTAGGATCTGGCTCCATTATGCAAACTATGCTCACAATCTCTGGAGCTGCCCCATATACAAGTTGCTGCCTGGCTCTTGGATGTTCTCCTTGATCCAATGATCATACGGGCTGTACAACTGTATACTTTCATTCTGCAGGCAGTGATCAGTTTGCAAATCCATACTTCTTGAACTACACTCCCTTGAGCTTCTTTGAAGCCATCGCAGATGAGGAATGCATAATTCACTTCATACTGGGAATCTGTGATCTCTCTCGCAGGCAAATTTCAGGTTGGACCTGACCTTTAATTACCAGTATAAACTGGGTATTATACAGAACTCTGCAACACAAAGCAACCATTGTTTCTCTAATCCTGTTGATACACGTTCTGTCACATTCAATTTCCCCTTTATTCCAGGAGGACTACACAGAGGTTGGAGTGTACAGTTCAGTGGGGTTCGCACAGCCGAGCTCATTCCAGATTTGGTATAAACAGGGTGCTAAGTAACAGTGGTGGCTCGGTGGAAATGATTGCAACAGAGTGCAAGGGGTATTCAAACTATTCTTCACATTATGAACAAGAACAGCATTCATCGGGATGCAAATGGATGGTGAAGTATTTGGCCTAGCTCAGCGGCACCGAGTCAGAGCTGGTACCACAACCCCCTGGATTTCTTTGCAAGCAGGAATGGGTCACAACTCGTACCGCATACAGAAATGAGAGTTCTAGTGTGATGGGCAGGGAGTGCGAGTCTCACCAATATACAGGTACATCTGGGGTAGCTTCACTGACTGAACAATGATTGCCCTTTGTATCTGAAGATGTGAATTTGTTTATGGTGTAGATGCTGCTGCCCGCACAGCAACTATACTCAGATCACAAGCATTGTAACCTGGTGTCGAGGGATATCCGAGACCAGACCACTTGCCAGCTGCACCAGTTAGAAACTATATCCCCCCCCCCCGAAAGCGATCCACCAATTGACTTAACAACTGGTTCCTACTTACTGCTGGGAAAACAGAGGTATTGGAGTAAGGAACTTGCCTAAGGTTTCACCCCACCTAGGAATCGAACCCGGATCCACTCACTTGCAAGGCAAATGCACTAACCACTATGCTACATCACTGATTAAATATCAATGCAACAATTTGCATGTCGTGGCTATCTTTTGCTCCAGGAAGAATTGAAGAGATCTCCCACTTCCTCTGTCTCATCTCAAAACACCCAAGTGCAAACTGCAGGACTTAATCTGCTTGATTTTAACCATGGAATTCCTGCAGCATTCCAAGGGGCCTCGTCTCAACTCGGTGTGTGGATCTCAAGTCTCTTACCTCTCCTTCATCCGCAAACCTCTTGAGATAATCCTTCAGTTCAGTTTCTAAATAATTGTATTCTGGAGGTTAAAGGAAAGACAGTTATCACAGGGTACCAGGATCTGTTTGGAAGTTAACAGTATTGCTGTGCACAATGACAAACTGAATTTACTGCCAGTTGACCAAAGTGATTTGGCATCTTACCGAGGTAAATGCTGCAAACCTACAACTCTCAATGCACTTTTCAACGTTTGAACTTTGCATCAACTACCATGTTGGCTTTTTGCATTGAATATTACAGGATCATTCTTAATGGGTAAGTGGGTGGTTAGAGAAAGTTACTTTTTTAAAACCCCTCTTAACTTGTGAAATAATCGACTACCCAGAAGGGGGCAATAGAAATTTCAGACAAACCAGTGAAAACAGGTCTACTCGTGGTATAGAAACACTTGTTTAATCTGCCTTAGACTTAAATGTTGCATCCCAGATCCTGAAATGGTAATGGGTCCTGAAAATCCATCCACGTGCCTAACTGCCAGTACAAAAGGTCAGTTTACAAGAGTTAGGAGACGTCATTCTGCCGGCCCCAAAATTGCTTTAAGCCCGGAAAGCGATCCGCCAATCGACTAACAACCGGGTTCCTACATACTGCTGGGTAAACAGAGGCGTGTGGAGTAAGGAACTTGCCCAACATTTCACCCCACCTGGGTCCTCTCGCTTGCGATGTGAGCGAACTAACCACTATGCTACAGGATTCATTACTTGACTAAATATCAATACAATAACTTCCATAAGGTGGCTCTTTTGCTGGGCAATTCTTCAATACAATTGATCAGGGGAGGCTTTGTCGTTTGACAAAATTAACTCAGAATGAGCTATCCCTTCCTAACACAATCTCTCAATGCAGGGCTTATGAGAGTTCCAAGTCATCCCATAATTAAATCACAATAAATAGTATAAACAATCCAACTCCACAAAAGGCACGTTACCATAAATGAGCTCCACTTGCTGGATTCTGTTCATGTTGCTCAGAGCCGTCATCAGAGGATCACGCCGCTCTCCGTCAGTCTCCTCGGCTGTTTTGCCTTTATTCTCGTAGGCTAAAACAGTATCGGATTCATCCAGCAGAAAGGAGACTTGCAGCTCTTTGTACAAGGTCTGGAAAAAAAGAAGAAACGACAATTCTTGGCGGTGAACGCAGGCGCGGAAACGGTCAGTGTTGGAAGCACAACCAGATCAACACTGTACGAGTTTACAATAGACTAAACTATTCTACCATTCCAATTCACTGACTGAGAAAACCACATCCTCTCTCTCTCCATTTCCCTTCTTCCCCAACAGCCCACCCCCCGCCAAAGAAAATCAGTGAATGTAAACAGAACGGGAGGAAATAAGATGAAAAGACCAAACTTTCTTTTTAAAAATGAAATGCCCCCAATAATAATAGCTATGATCTCCCCAGTAAGATGGGTTATTCAAGTTATCTTAAAAAAAAAGTTAGAAACTTAGTTTGGTTACTTGTTCTGAGCAATAACTCGCACTTATGTGTCCCCTTTCTTGAAGGATATTGTCTCAAAACCCTGAAGCGATAAGGAGAGCCAACTCCCATCAAGTTAAATCACTAAATTAAAAGAAATAGGACAAAGCAAACAAACAAAGTCCAATCAAAACAAGCATTATGAAGAGAGCAGCGCAAATGCCAAGTCACCATACCGTGCAAGGCTGGCAGGTACAGAGCTTGTTGCGCCAGTTGTGTGGCCAGTAGATGGCACAATCTCTCTGGAGAAATTCTTTCTTTTTCAACTGTTGTAGACTGCACTTGGCATTGGCCGCACTCGGTTCCTTCTTCACACTGCAGCTCGCCTCGTCGCCATTCGCTGCCTGGAAAGAGCAGAAGAATAAAAAACCCTTAAGCGATCTCCACTGCTTTCATCCCTCCCAAACAGCTAATACCAGCAAAGCCGTGCGCTCTGTGCGCCCCTCCCAGCTATGTGGAGTGAATGCACAGCTCCTCCTGCCTCTCATTGCGCTGACCGCAGACTGTTCAATAGTGATAGTGAAACCCAGTTGTAACTTAAGTTATAAACTTCATTATAACCCAGGTACGGCCACGCAAGGTCAGTGTGGGCTCTGATGTTTATCTGCCAGAAAAATGTGAGCCAGCTTTCTTCACACACGCTGGTAGCGCTGAGCAGTAATAGCACCCCATGTTAGTGTCCGTTACAAGTTTCCTGATTCTCTCCCCCCAACTACCATGTTATGATGGTCTCTACTGTAGCACAGTTCAGAGTTCCACAAACCTGCACCTAAGAGTATGTGCAGAATTCCACCATCAGTTCTAATGTTAGCAGGTCAGCAATTATGTTAGACGTAATTCACTCTATTTCTGGTGAATGACCTAGTTAGTGTAAAATTATAACTAGTTAACCTATATAACTTCAATTTGAAAAAAAGAAAGGTTAAAAGGCAACCAGGTTTTCCACTAACCCGGGACTAATTCGGGGGTCAGGTTTGAGACGTCTCGAAGATGTGATAAGGTGCTGTATCAAATGCAAGGATTATTATTATACCATGGCTCTGATCACACTGCACCAGTAAGTATGTTAAAAAAATCAAATATTTACGGACACATTTCCAAGACATTACATGAAGCCAAATGGCGATGTCAGCTCACATCTGGAGCTGGCGCTGAGAGGATTTGGGAGTGAGGATTATTGGACGAAACAGAATTAAAATCGCTTGTAAGCTTCCTTGCTCTAATCCCAGCATGTATTAAACAGCAGTTGGGAGTGCAGATTGGTTTGGGTGCAGTCTTTATTCTACAGTAGATGCCATTATGTCATACTCTTATCCAATGACCCAGCCAAGCCATGGAGCAATGTGCACACACAAGCCAGACAATCAAATCAGATTCATGGGTCTACCCTGTGATTTAGAAGCACAAGATTCCTAGTTTAGAGCAAAGGCTTGAACTGTGCCACCAACTATCAATGATTACAGAGAGGAACATCCCACAAGATTGTAAAGTACGGCAAATTCTTAACTCACTGCGCCATATTAAACAATACAGGAGTCCACTCAAGTGGAGAGTTTTCACTACAGTGAAACACAAGTTCACCTCAGGCTTGTTCTCCGCTTTGCAGCTTGTGGATGGTTCACTGGGTTTATTGTCCATCTCTTCACACTTCACAGCACAATCCAGCACTTTCTGGTTGCAGGAATCTCCATTTTCCTGGACCACACTCCCGTCAGCAATGCCGTCTTCTGGTTTGGTCAATGAACTGGAGTCCTCGGGATCCTCTGCTTTGTTCACTGAAGAAGGACACAGAAAGGTAATAATCCTTGCATTTGATATAGCGCCTTATCACATCTTCAAAACGTCTCAAAGCGCTTCACAAAATATACTGTAAAGTGAACTGACTGTATTTGTGGACGAAATGCAGCAGCCAATTGCGCACAGCAACGTCCCACAAACAGCTGTGGATTGAGTAAGCAAATTATATTTATTTTGAAGGAATTGTTACCTCCAGAAAAGTGATCCGCCAATCGACTAACAACCAGGTTCCTATTTACTGCTACGTAAACAGAGGCGTGTGGAGTAAGGCAACATTTCGCCCTGCCGGAAATCGAACCCAGGTCCTCTCGCTTGTGAGGCGAGTGATCTCACCACTAAGCTACAGGTACTTGAAGAACGAGGTTTCACACAAAGCTGGTTACTTTCCACTATTCCCCAGTCAGCACAAAGAGAAATAAATCTGTGGACATCTCTATAGATTGGCAGTGTTGACCCTTGACTGAACCAGCTCCCTGGAAGGAACTTTCCTGCCCCTGACCGGCTTGAAGGTAAAACAAGACAGATACAGAACAATGTCAGTTACCAAGCTGCACAGTGGAAGATTTGGGAGTTAAACGAAAATACTTTTTTACTTTTAATGCATTTGACATCTCCAAAAATTTCTCGGAAAAGGAATTCACTTCCCTAACTGTGGGGGTAAGGCACTCACTGTTTTGTATTCAATAAAAAGCGTCAGTGAATCCCAGGTCAGACAGCTGCAGACTAAACATTTTCAAAAAAAAATAAAAAAAATTGAAAAGCTGACAAACCAATCTTTAGAGGATTACTATCTCCGATGTAATATTTGTTAAGATATGTACAGTAGGAGCTTGGCTGCAGATCACTAAACCCGATACAGCAAAACTTAAAGGTCACCCTTTAAGCCATTAATAATGATTGCTGCTCCAAATCGGAACGATCAAAACGCTTCCTTTGGTTGAAAACCAGGCACAGTGCGTTTTTTCTCTGATTTGCTTTCGGCCCAACAATCAAGTGATAGACACAGCTTTCTGCCCCCCCACCCACCCAAATATGCTAGCCCGCAGAGGAAATTCCAGATCTCAGCTGGCTGGAAGCTTCTACACATGGGTAATGACAGCCCAGCTAATGCATGGTTAGAAAGCAGAAATGCTAGCTTAGCAAGAGAACCAGTCTAAACTCGTGCTGATCGACTGAAAGATTAAAGCACCAATAAAATACTGTAGTAAAAGGACTTTGGTCCACAAGGGATTAAAAATTAATCTGCTAAAGAAAGACAATTTAGCAGTCAGTCAATCTGGAGCAAAACAGCACTCTCACATGCAGCGTCTATATAGGTGGCAGATGTACCTCAGTCATACAGTTCTCTGCATTGGTGCATTGAAGTCACCAGTGCAGTTTGTGGAGGGGAGGGAGTCATTCACTGGACACTGCTCTTGACCTGACTGTTTTTTCCCCCCTCCCTACCTCAGGAGGTGTTGAAGACAATTGTCTCAGCCCAACTCTTGCCCCATTTGAGCTCCACTAATTCAGCAGAAGCCAAGGACCGAGTGAATCAATGCTGGGACCTTCCAAAGCTATTGATAGCAGCTTGATCAAGAGAGCCATCAGATGAGCTGATCCACCTACTGAACACTGTGAAGTGTCTACTCAATACTGGTGATAGCCATGTTTCCAACTAGCAGCAAAGAGTTTGGAAGACAACGTACATGTTGCTATTCTCCTCTTTAAAATGCAACAAAGAGCTAGTTGGGTCTTAGGGAGGAACCCAAACCCATCGGTAATTTTTAGTGGTTCATTCAGGTGCCCACAAGGGGTGTTAAGGGGTGTAGTTCACAGCGGCTTCAGAATACTCCTCAAGTTCTGAGCAAACAGCACATCATGATCCATCCCTGAACCAGGACGCTTCATACCTGCTAATTGCGATGCATATGCCCAGAGAAAGGAGCATCTATTCATACAGTTCTGACAGATCATTTCCTGATATTCAATGTTCTCTGGTAGATCAACGCCAAGATGCTGCAAATAAAAAAAGGCAACTGTATTAGGCAACCCTAGATGATTGATGGAGGTTGACAGCGATCATCGCAGCTGCTATTTATTCAAATAATTAATAATAATCCTTGCATTTCATACAGCGCCTTATCGTGTCTTCGAGACATCTCAAAAGATGCTTGTGAAAACATACCGTAGCCCAAGTCAGCACCTTCAGGAAAGGACGAAGGAAGAGAAAGAAACAAAAGAAAAAAGTAGGTGACCTAGCTGATGGATAGCAGACACGGCCTCAATGGGCTGAATGGCCTCTTTAGGTGCTGAAAACTGTCCTATCATTGCCTTACCCTTCCATGGAACCAATCTTCACACCCAACACACTGAATCATCTCATCGGGGATCTGAAGAAAAACACAGGCTTTGTGAGGCGTCAGCCCTTGTGTTACAGCAACAAACTTGGTATTCAACAGAGGCGTTCCTAAGATAAAACTTGTGAAGAGCTCACCTCATCCTCAGGGTCCGGATAAGGTCTCTTGCATATACAGTACAACCCGAAGAAGTTGTCGTTGTATTTATTGTCTGGATTGCTTTTTTCTTTTTCCTGTTGTGTTGTGTGTGTAAAAATAATTAAGAACCACTTTACACAAAGCTTAGATTCTCAAATTCAAAGTCTATTCCACAACCGACTGTAAACGACTCAATTGAAAGGTTACTCCCCCAGGCAAAACATTGTGAGAACTTACAGGGAAGAACTTGCATTGCAGATCACTAAACTTGCTGTTCCCACAGTCACAACGAAAGTTCCTGTTAAGATAAATGATTAATCTGTTAAACATTACAGTCGACATTCTATGATCCGTTTCCAAATGGAAATATTCACATTTCCAACTGTAGTTCTGATAATGAGTATTTCACTAGAACGCAAAAAAAGGGCAGCTTGAAGCTTCAGTTAGAATCCAGAAGATAGATTTAGTTTAGTTTTATTCTCTTTCAGACGCTGCTCAATCTGTTGTGCAGCTCTGGCACTCGTTTTTTTTATTTCAGAATTCTAACATTAGCTGTCTTATCTTCACTTGATCAGTTCACTTAATCTTGATATCAAACCACAATTTGCTAATGATTGAGCTCATGCAAAATTCAACTAATTCCTGATTTAATAAATATTCATTCCTTTACTGGTGAAAAATTCAAGACAACAAGAGAGGAGCAAAAAAATGGTCAGGTAAGTGCATGTATATAGACAGGATGAAGCTCAGCTATGATATTCCGAATGGCCTGCTGGAAAACACTGCTTGGATTTATGTATAACAAACATAAATATGGGCAAGCGACAACTATGGAGCCTTGGCTCAGAATGAAGTCGCAGTTTCAGGAAAGGAGGAGAAAGGTAATTTGATTACCCTTTGTCAGGAAAACAACCTTTACAAAGTTCCCATTGGTTACTGGTACAGATTTCATCTTAAGAGCTCAGCTCCCAGTTCTGCCGGTTAACGGAGACCAACAACCGTACCTTTTGGTATACAACTCGAACAGTTCGTGGCCTTCGTGACACTTGTAGCTGCAAGCTAAACAGATGCCAGCAGGCTGTCCTCCCTTTGGTGTGCAGGTATTACACGCGTACAACGCTTGTCTCTTCACGTAGCCCTGGAGGAAGAAGGCGGCAGTCAGAAGGGAAGCAATTACAAAATACCATTACTTGCACTTATAAATAAAGATACAACATTCTTTCAGTGACAATCAAAGGAAATTCACAAGAGGCTGACGTTGAGAGGGCTTGAAAATAGACACTACTTTTTTTTTACCCCAGAGCATATCTGGTCATCTTGGCAGACGTATTTATATTGTCTGTGCATAACACCGTACAAGTTACAAGATCTAAAAATACATTTTGAATTTTGTTTCAGTTGCCAACTTCCTGCTCCTCTCTGGGAGGTGTGGACTCTTCCTGGGGTAAAGTTACAATAAATATAATAACCCTTGCATTTGATATAGCGCCTTATCACATCTTCGGGACGTCTCAAAGCACTTCACAGAATATACCGTAAAGTGAATTGACTGTATATTTTTTGGGCGAAACAGACAACAGCTGCCCTCCAGTGGTAACTTGGCAAAGTGGCCATACTTCATATGTGATGCTATCACCGGGTCAATAGTATGTGGAGGGCATCACAGACATGTCCAGGTCGGAGTAAGGAACCTCTAGGAAGGAGTGACCAGGTAGAGCAGCGGTGGTCAACCTGCGGCCTGCATGCCAGAAGTGGCCCGTGGAGCGGTCAAGAAGTAGCTCCCCGCGAACATTTGCACGTGTCTAGGGTAAGTCTGCGTTCAATCGCTAAGTACGTTTGTTTTCATGGTCGAACATTTCTTCATTTCTGGCGTAAGTCCAGAAAATTGGATTGGATTTGATTGTATTGGTTCTACTGAGGCAGGAGCAGTGAGTGACAGGTGGGAGCGCTGGGTCAGAGCAGTGACCAGGTGAGAGCAGGGTTTGGTGGTGGGCTCTATGGGAGCAACGAATGACTAGGTCAGGAATAGTGACCAACCACTCTGTGAGAGCAGATCCTCACTCACGCAGCCAAAGCGCCACGTGACAACCGTGTAGCCGTGCTGACGTCACGGGGGTGTATCCACGCACCAGACAGGAACGTCACGCCCAATGTAACGGGATTGGGAGGCTTCACACCCCCAATGTAGCTCAATCCGGTGGGTTCACGCTGTGCTCATGACAGCCGCGGGCCAATGGGAAGCGCCTGACGCACAAATGGCGCCAGTCAGATGAGCTCATTCACCCCAGGCTCACCCTCACCCCCCAATACTGTCCCTTACACTCACAATACCCCCCCATACTGTCCCTTACACTCACAATACACCCCCTCACCCCCAAATCTGTCCCTTACACTTACAATAACCCTCACCCCACACCCCCAATACTGTCCCTTCCACTCACAATAACCCCCCTCACCCCCCAATACTGTCCCTTCCACTCACAATAACCCCCCTCACCCCCCAATACTGTTCTCACACCCACATAAATACCCATATAAATATATAATCATTATTATATAGATACGCTTATACACACACATAGTATATCTATAACATATGTTTTCCTGCTGTCATTGAGTTGTTTTTTTTTCACATTTTTGGGGGTTGAGTCAAATATATAAAATTAAAGATATATTTAACTTGTTTTAAGTGACAAAAGTGGGTGGAGCCTCTTCCCTCTCTCAAAGCAACCTCTACTGAAGCAATCCTCTTCGACCACACTCACGGCCACCTCCCCCCCGGCTCTTCACTACTGTTAAGCGCTCATGTGAAGCTATCCTGCGTGATGGCGCTATATAGTGCATGTTGTACTGCTTCCCCAAAACAGCCATCGCGCCTCTCACACACACAGACATAGAGCCAGGCAGACACACATAGACAGACAGACACAGAGATGGGCAGACAGACATAAGGACAGACAGACATAGGGACAGACAGACACAGGGACCTACACAGAGACGGACAGACACACAGACACAGAGCCGGGAGACACACATAGACAGACAGATACAGAGACGGACAGGCATAGAGATGGTCAGACAGACATAGGGACAGACAGACAGAGAGACGGGCAGACATAGAGATGGTCGGACAGACAGACACAGGGACCTACACAGAGACGGACAGACACACAGGGTCAGACAGACAGACACGGGGACAGACAGACAGACACAGGGACAGACAGACAGACACAGGGACAGACAGACAGACAGACACAGGGACAGACAGACACAGGGACAGACAGACACAGGGACAGACAGACACAGGGTCAGACAGACAGACACAGGGACAGACAGACACAGGGACAGACAGACACAGGGACAGACAGACACAGGGACAGACAGACACAGGGTCAGACAGACAGACACAGGGACAGACAGACAGACACAGGGACAGACAGACACAGGGACAGACAGACAGACACAGGGACAGACAGACACAGGGTCAGACAGACAGACACAGGGACAGACAGACACAGGGACAGACAGACACAGGGTCAGACAGACAGACACAGAGACAGACAGACACAGGGACAGACAGACACAGGGTCAGACAGACAGACACAGGGACAGACCGACAGAGGGACAGACAGACAGACACAGGGACAGACAGACACAGGGACAGACAGACAGAGGGACAGACAGACAGTCACAGGGACAGACAGACACAGGGACAGACAGACACAGGGACAGACAGACACAGGGACAGACAGACACAGGGACTGACAGACACAGGGACAGACAGACACAGAGACAGACACAGGGACAGAGAGACAGACACAGACACAGGGACAGACAGACACAGGGACAGACAGACAGACAGACTCTCTGACCTCGGAATAGGAGCATTTGTCGGAGTCGCTGCCGCCCAACACGGCACTCGCCTCGTTCTCCAACTCCTGATTCTGCTCCAGAACCTCTGCCAACGACACGATGGGATCCTCGTCCTCCAGCGGCCGCTTAGCGGTGCCCTCACTGCCCGCCATCCCTCAGCCTCACTCACTCACTCACTCACACTCCGGCAGGAAACGGCCTTCTGGGCGATTTAAAACGCACACAAATAAAAAAAAGTCCCTCCTCTTCCTCTTCCTCCCCGACCCCGACTATTATTATTATTATTGTTTAAAGTCTATGGCGCGAAAAGTAAAGGGAAGCGAGAGAGGGAATGAGACAGTGAGAGAGGGAATGAGACAGTGAGAGAGGGAATGAGACAGTGAGAGAGGGAATGAGACAGTGAGAGAGGGAATGAGACAGTGAGAGAGGGAATGAGACAGTGAGAGAGGGAATGAGACAGTGAGAGAGGGAATGAGACAGTGAGAGAGGGAATGAGACACAGAGAGAGGGAATGAGACAGTGAGAGAGGGAATGAGACACAGAGAGAGGGAATGAGACACAGAGAGAGACAGAGAGAGGGAATGAGACAGTGAGAGAGGGAATGAGACAGTGAGAGAGGGAATGAGACACAGAGAGAGGGAATGAGACAGGAGAGAGGGAATGAGACAGTGAGAGAGGGAATGAGACACAGTGAGAGAGGGAATGAGACACAGAGAGAGAGAATGAGACAGAGAGAGAGGGAATGAGACAGTGAGAGAGGGAATGAGACAGTGAGAGAGGGAATGAGACACAGTGAGAGAGGGAATGAGACACAGAGAGAGGGAATGAGACAGTGAGAGAGGGAATGAGACACAGTGAGAGAGGGAATGAGACAGTGAGAGAGGGAATGAGACAGTGAGAGAGGGAATGAGACAGTGAGAGAGGGAATGAGACAGTGAGAGAGGGAATGAGACAGTGAGAGAGGGAATGAGACAGTGAGAGAGGGAATGAGACAGTGAGAGAGGGAATGAGACAGTGAGAGAGGGAATGAGACAGTGAGAGAGGGAATGAGACAGTGAGAGAGGGAATGAGACAGTGAGAGAGGGAATGAGACAGAGAGAGAGGGAATGAGACAGAGAGAGAGTGAATGAGACAGAGAGAGAGGGAATGAGACAGAGAGAGAGAGAGAATGAGACAGAGAGAGAGAGGAATGAGACAGAGAGTGAGAGAGGGAATGAGACAGTGAGAGAGGGAATGAGACAGTGAGAGAGGGAATGAGACAGAGAGAGAGAGAATGAGACAGAGAGAGAGGGAATGAGACAGTGAGAGAGGGAATGAGACAGAGAGAGAGAGAATGAGACAGAGAGAGAGGGAATGAGACAGAGAGAGAGAGAGAATGAGACAGAGAGTGAGAGAGGGAATGAGACACAGAGAGAGAGAGAATGAGACAGAGAGAGAGGGAATGAGACACAGAGAGAGAGGGAATGAGACACAGAGAGAGAGAGAATGAGACAGAGAGAGAGAGAGGGAATGAGACACAGAGAGAGGGAATGAGACAGAGAGTGAGAGAGAGAATGAGACAGAGAGAGGGAATGAGACACAGAGAGAGGGGTCAGCGGTCGGTCGGTCGGTCGGTCACTCACTGCTGTCTGGACCGCGGGTGTAATGGTCGCTGCGCCTCTCTCCCGCCCTTTCCCGCTCTGGCCCTGTGGCCCCGCCTCCTCCCCGGGGTCAGAGTGCGGAGGTCACCGCCGCCATCATGGCTGAGTGCGAGGTGAGCGGCCTCCTGGTCTCCCCGGGCCCGGGCCCCGGCACCGCCCAGCGCTTCTCGCTCCGCTCCCCCGCCACCCTCCCCGGCCTCCTCACCAGCGTCCGCCTCCTCAAGCAGCGGGTGTCGGCGGCGCTCAGTGACCTGGTGACCCGGGAGCGGGAGGAGCAGCGGCAGCGACAGCGACCCCCAGGCCCCGGGGAGGCGCTCAGCCTCAGCCCCGACCCCAGTCACAGCCACAGCCACAGTGAGTCAGTCACCTATTGTTCATCATCAGCCGCCGCTATTGTACCATTGTTATATTATTGTTTTATTATTATGTTATATTGTTGTTATGTTATATTATGTTATATTATTAGTATATTACGTTATACTGTTGTTATGTTATGTTATATTATTAGTATATTATGTTATACTGTTGTTATTATGTTATATTATTATATTATGTTATTATATTATGTTATATTATGTTATATTATTATTTTATTATTATTATATTATGTTATACTGTTGTTGTTATGCTATATTATTATTTTATATTATATTATTGTTCTTATGTTATGTTATTATATTATTTTGTTATTGTTATGTTATATTGTTATTATGTTACATTATTATGTTATTATATTGTTATTATGTTATTATATTATGTTGTATTATCGTTATATTATGTTATTGTTGTTATTATGTTATATTATTATATTATGTTATTTTTTATTATTATTTTATATGTTATTATATTGTTATTTTATTATTATATTACGTGACCGTATAAAAGCAACAGCACAAGTGAGTCGTGTTGTTTATTATTATTATTATGAGTCATGTTATTAGTAAATAGGTATTATTATTACATCATTATGTTATGTTTCGCCCACAAAACATAAAGACAATTCACTTTATGGTATATTTTGTGAAGCGCTTTGAGACGCTTCAAAGACGTGAAAAGTCACTGTATCAAAGCGAGGATTATTATTATGTTATTATGTGACAGAATAAAGGCACAGCGCAAGTGAGTCATGTTATTAATTATTATTACTATTATTATGAGTCATGTTATTAATAAGTATAATTATTATGATGTGACGATAAAACAGCAACGCAAGTAATATAATAATCCTTGCATTTGATATAGTGCTTTTTCACGTCTTCGAGACGTCTCAAAGGACTTCACAGAATATACTGTAAAGTGAATTGACTGTATTTTGTGGGCGAAACGCGGCAGCCAATTGCGCTCAGCGGTTATTAATAGTGAGTCATGTTATTAATAATAATTATTACTATTATATTGCCCACAAAATATACAGTCACTAGACTTTATTCTGTGAAGCGTTTGGAGGCGTCTCGAAGACGTGATACGGCGCTATATCAAATGCAAGGATTATTATTGTGTGGCAGTGTTAAACAGCAGTGAGTAATGTTGTTATAAATAAAAATTAATAATGTTATATCGATATTATGTGTAATAGCACTATATCATATCTATAGTATGTGTATTTGTAATAAATAATAATTGTGTGAGATAAAGCAGCAGCAGCAGTGAGTAATATTATTCATAATAATTATTATGGTGACGGTATAAGAATAACAGCGGGTGTCAAAAAGTTTATTTTGGTGAAGATGTTGCACTAAAAAAAAGGCCAAATTTTAAAATAATTGAAAAGGAAACAAATGAAATAAAGGACTTCACAGAATATACTGCAAAGAGTAATGTAAATAATTATTATTATTACATGACAGTATAAAACAACAGCAGCAGCAGTGAGTAATAATAATAATTATGTAGCAGTATAAAACAAATAGTTCCTACAGTCATCAGTGCGACTGGGACTTATTCAGAAATAATAATAATGTGACAGTATAAAACAGCAGCGGCAGTTAATAGTAATAATAATATTAATTATGTGGCAGTATAAAATAAACGTAGTTCCTATAAATCATGGGACTGTTAATAAGATGATTCAGAAATAATAATAATAACAACAAATTACATTGGTATATAGCACATTTTACACCGGGAGGAAAAAACGTAGTTCCTATTATCATCGGTACAACTGGGACTGTTAAGAATATTCAGAAATAATTATAATCCTTTCACTTGATATTGCCTTATCGAAGTGCTGGACACTGATGCTTTGCACCTGAGCTTCGGGTCAGAATCAGAGAGCAGTGGAGGGCAAAGGGGGTGGAAGAGGGAAGATGACCAAAGTGCGGTTGAAAAGGAAGGACTTGAGATGGGCTTTGAAGGAGGCAAGGGTGGGGGTGAGACAGAGGGGCTCCGGGATGTAGTTCCAGAGGTTTTGATGCCTCTGCCACCAAATAACTTTGCTGCACTTGCTGTTCGATTAACAAAGGCTACCAATTTTAAACTGCTCCTGTGACCTTTTTTGAACTTAGGTGAAGATGAAGACAGTGAAGAAAATGAATCAGATACCAAGGCGGATGGGGATGCACCTCCTGTAAAACGCACCAAGAAACCTTCCTGACTCACCCCAGTGGGACAATCTGTTTGTCAGTCTGCTTACAATGACGGGATCTGGAACGTTTTATAGGGAGAACTACTCCATCAGTTGGTGATCGGGATGGACAACATTTGTTAAATGTCAATCTGGTGTTACCCTCACTTATTTTTTTATACAGACCTGTTATATACAAAAAAAATATTTCTGTTTGTGTTGGCCTTTGAACCCCTTTCAGTTCATTGTTTGTTAACTTGGGAATTTTGGTTCACACAAGAAATCTATCTATGCGATATCTATAAGTCTGCTTGGTTGTTTTTTTCCCCTTTTGTTTCTGGGCGGATTTGGGTGAGAGAAAAGGCGAGACTTCACATTCACATCTTTTCAACGCACAATACCATAGTGGTGAGAAACTTATTAGAGGACAGTGCGGAAATTTAAACGCTCATTTTGTAGTGTTAGGAGTGTGTGCGATTCTCTACACCTTGAGTTTCTGATCTCTGGTCTGAAATCCTAACTTGTTCCTTCTGTATTTTTATTTTCTTTCCTTTTAATTCATTCATAATTAAGCTGATCTGTATCTTTCTTTTTTTTTAAAAAAACTTTGCATTCCTTTATCCTATAATAATAATAATACTTGCATTTGATATAGCGCTTTATCATGCCTTCTAGACGTTTCAAAGCGATTCATAGAACATACTGTAAAGTGGATTCACTGTGTACTTTGTGGGCAAGATTTGCTCCTGGTTAAAATTGGACTTGAATTAGATCATGGACTCGGCTTACTTAAGTGATAGAAGTCTAACAGTGACCTGGGCACAAATCTGTGGTGCATTTTTACACGATGGATCACAAGAGTCTCCATTTCACTGGAGAACCTAATGTCTGGATGAAATAAATCATTAATTGCAACAAAGCAAAGGTTAAGTGATTTAAGAATTGCGCCAGCAAGATTCACTCCCAGTTCTGGATCGCCAGTGGTTTAGAAGAGTCAGTCTTGAAAATATTTTCAGAATGAAACCTGGCTTGAAAGTCGATCAGCGAGCCAAAAAAAAATTTCCGTTTTCAGATTTATAGGTTTTCTTTATGACCAAGAAAAAAGTTGCTGTGCGTGTAACTCCAGGATTTTTTGCTTTGTTTCAGGATAATCTGCTCGAGTACTTTCCAGCAGATGGGGTGGATTATTTCTCCCATTTGTGTAAATGTGCAGTAATTATTTCTAAAATTAGAATGGTTAATCTTATGTTTCTTCAAAGTACAATCTACAATCTTCACCTTGGTCTTGAAATGCACTGCAAAGCAGGGAGTTACTGGATTGAAATCAGAAGGGAGAGCCTTTACTTATTAATAATAATAACCCTTGCATTTGATATAGCGCCTTATCACATCGTCAAGACGTCTCTAAGCGCTTCACAGAATATTCCGTTAATTGGATTTGATTGTATTTTGTGAGCGAAATGTTCCGTTTCCCCCTCCCTACCCCAAAGCAAGTGAAGCACTTTTACTGAGATCAGTTAACTCAGTAACTGATCTTTTGGGTCTCCGTGACCTAGTTTCAGGCTGAATGATTATGGGAGTTAATAAGTCTGAGTTGAATATTTTTGATTTTACTGGATTTTTGTGACCAACTTTAGAATTTTTCCAATATTTATTACTAAATTGCATTTTTATTTCGCAATTTATGTCGCGAGCAATAATTACAAAGTAAAATATAAAACAAATATTTATTATATTTAAAAAGAAATACACCTCTTTCAGACATTGCCAAACACCATGTTAAAACAGAGATTCTTAATAGTTTCATAATTCTGAAAACTTTTTGTTATAACTCACATCAAAAGACAGATTTACACAACATTGCCTTGTTTTTAGTGTGAATAAGACAGACTTTGTTTAGTTGTAAGACAATATAACTTGGATAAACTTTTTTTAGAAATAGAAACCGCAAGATCAATTATAATACTTACACTTGATATAGCACCTTATCATATTGTTAAATTGTCTTAAAGCGGTGCAATCCTGTAAAATGTGGTGACTGTGCATTTGTAGGTGAACATGGCAGCCATTTTACGCACAACAATGTCCGCAATGAAAAACAGCCAGTGAAGTGATTGCAGTTTTATCTGAGAGATTCTTGACCAAGACATCTGGAGAAACAGGTTCTTTTTGAACAACACCATGGGATCTTCAACATCTATCTGAAACAGCAGATGGGAACTTAGTTTAACATCTTGTCTGAAGGAATGTTAGTCCAGGCTATTAGCTCAAAGTCCCAATATGGAGCTTGAACCCACAGCCGTCAGACTCACAAGTGCTGCCGGCTTAGCCAGGCCGACACATAATAATGATGATTCACTCCAGTGGTGCAGTGAACTTAATGTAACAACAGGAATACCAAAAACATCAGGTTCTAACCATTCATGGGCCATGTAAATAGGGAAACTGAAGGACTGGGGAAAAATTAACTCGTTACGAGTCATAAAACATGGTGGTTGGACGAGAAATAAATATTTTAAGCAGCGGCTTTTGCTATTCTGTTGAAATGATAAACATACAGCACTTCCAACATTTGTCAGCAGCTAGTGTTACTGGCCTAAAATGCACACGTTATTTTCTCCCATTTTCCAAATGCATTCTCATTTCTCCCTGCCCAGTACTGAGGAAAGATTGCTGTGCAGATAGTGAGTACTGGCTGCCAACTCTCAACCTATAGTACCTTTGAAGTGAATATACAGATGGTATGTTGACAGCTCAGTGCAACATTCCTCCACAAAGTTCATTATCATTCTGCTCCCTATGACAATATGATAATCGGCAACTGGCTCAGCAGGAAATCTCAACATCTATTATTTTGTACTGTTACAGTCTGCCTCCATACAGTGTTCAGAGTTAACACTGAACAAAGAGGGAAAGGATTCAATTTTGTCAGACCAGTATAATCGTGTTAAAAATCAGATGATCTTAAAATCAAAAGTGAAATAGCTTTTAGCACAAACCCTGTAAACCAAGCACACACAAAAGCAGAACTGCTAATTTATGAAAACAGTTTTACATTAGAGAAAATGTCAGCTGAAATAAACTGGATTTTTCAAGTCACATCATTGCTCTAAAGTGATCACAAGATCAGGCAACAATGAGACAAAACTTCCCATCCATTTGCCGGTGTTACAACCCAACTACAATAACAGTGATCTGAAGAGTGAAAGCTGTCGCTCTAAGATGTTAATTTGGAATAGTCTCGTGATTGTTTCTGCAAAATGTCGGTGGCTTTTGCACATGAAATGGTGAAGTGAAAGTAAGTTCATGATATCCAACCAGTCCATTTATCTTCTTTAAAACAAACCGCCATGATATTCAGCAATTTTGTACCTTAGGATTTCACCACAATAAAATCAGACATGTGGATTCTTACTGTTAAAACGTTTGCTTGTGGTCATAGCAGCAGAGCAGTAATTAACCCTTAAATAATTCAAACTGATATCTCAGGAACCCAAATCGATCCTAATAGGAAAAAAAAGTAAATGTAAACTAACCCTAAAGCAGGAGACAATACTCTCCCAAGCTAATGCTTTATATTGAACTGTTGTAGGACAAATTTGTTTTCCTAGGTACACCCACACGTTTTATAAAGGTACAAATACTGTATATACAAAACTCCATAGAAGCCATAGAAGGAATGAAGTTGTTCCAAACAAATGCTGAGAGAAGACAATAGGCTTGACGTTTGTGAAACACTGGATGTGACATGTTCGGAATAGGACAGGACTTTAACAGCAGACGGTTATGGACAAGAGTAAAAAAAAAGGACAATTTTTCTTAACGGGTCACAGTCGATGCAGCATTTAAAGGCATGTGAGTCATACAAAATGCAGTAGAGGTGGAAAGAGTTAAAACACTGGAATGTGTATTATGTGCTTGAATGGCTTTTAATAGTTAAAAGAAAAAAAAATCACAATTGTCTTAATTGTTACCACATTATAATGTCATTTTATAACTACACGGATAAATGATTTCACTTCCACCGAATCACGAGACTTTTCCTTTCAGCCAAATGAATGAGCCTTCACATCCAAGTGAAAGTCAACGAAGTTGGTGAGAGGAAAAAAACACGAACAGTCTCAACTCACTGCAAAATCTTCCAGGCTTCAGAAATACACCCGGATTCTCACATACATGTTGAGTGCCTGGTCACGTGAAACAGCTAGTGACTAAATCAAGTTACTACTTGGCCCAGCTGTGCAATAATATTTTGTTTGTCAAACCAGTTAGCAAAGGAGAAGAGAGCTTGTCCTCACAACTCCCACTTTGGGATTTAGTTAAGAGTATTTTCTTTAAGTAAAAAAAAGTAACCACTACCCACAACTGATCATCTCATGACCACAACTGCACAACTCCAAAGAGTTCAATTTTTGTTAAGATGTATTAAATCTTAACCCCAGTAAAACTGTTTATCGCTTTTTCAAATTGAGCGTTTTCATAAATCCTCACACTTTATCTAAAGAACCTTTAGTTTGTTTTTTTGGTCAGTCTGATGTCTTGTCACGTGTGGAAACCCGTCATCTTGCTAAAGAGTATCCAAAACAGACTTTGGTGTTCCACATACATTTGCCACTTAAGCCTTTAGTTGTAGCCCTTTTCTAACTTAAACGTATTTAAGTTAATAATATGCCATTCAGATGCTGGAGTTGAGTTGCTAATGTAAAGATTTGACTTTTGCAATTTAATTAGCAAAGCGACTCCTAAGTGCTTAAAGACGTGAGCAAATGAGCTTCACACACAGTGGCTACTTTGAAAAGATTACTGACATAAATACGAACCACCATTTTGCCTTTGTAGGAGATGTGGACACGTCCCTGTAAACGTTTATTGCATCTTTTCAGTCAGGCAAATATTAAAGTACAAGTAAATAAAAAAAATAAGTTTATGGTACGCAGAAGGATTTTTATTCAACATACACAAGCTTGAGCCGATGAGAAAACAAATCCTTTTCCACTTGAATATCGTAAAATTGCATTCCCATTGAAAAATAATGGAAATTCTTAAAACGCCAGGTCAGAGAAGAGCAAGACTTCCCTGATTTCTAACCACATCACCTTAGTCAATGGTCCACAGGACCTTCTGGAGTTATAATTTATAAAAATTCCTACCAAATATTAAATTCAAAAAAATAGCCTTACATCTAATTGCAGATTGCATCGTCTGAAATGGAACAGTCAAAGATATCCATGTGTCAAACCGCCATTGGGAGGCTGGAGGGACAACTTAATTTAACCCGAGTTAACAGATCCATTTATGTGTCAATGATCTTCAGTTTGTTGATCTGATTCGATGCCTTGATGAAAGTTTGGTGGCGGTTGCAGACAACTGCCAAGTAGATTGGGAAAATGCAGTAGCCGACAGTTTTGGGATTAGCTCTGGTGCACGAGTACAAGAACAAAAAGATCTGCAGGTAGGGAACGAGAAAGAGAATCCCCCATAGCCAGAACGGGAGTGACAATAAGCGCATTTTAACTGTCTGTGTCCAGGAAGCTCTGCTTTCGAGATCTTCAGTGTTGCGCTGTGTGTGTTCCAAAGCCAAGCGGTTATAAGTCTCGTTTATTTCAAACACATAGTAAAACGTCGCGGCACTTGCTAGCAGGTATATTCCGACACCGATCCATCCCATTCGCTGGCGAAAGTTCATCATTCTCCATAATCTATTTTTTTCCTGCAATATGAATAAAATATAAACCAGTCAATGCACGTTTTAGCCAACGTGTATGTATTGAAAGACGGATTTCCCATGGCCACCTCAAAGGAATAAAGACTTTTGCACTGATTTCACCCACAAAACATAGTCAGTTCACTTTACAGCATATTCTGTGAAGCGCTTTGAGGCGTCTCAAAGACGTGATAAAGCGCTATATTGAATGCAAGGATTATTATTATTATGAGACGTATTGACTGCAGCTTTATCACACTTTATTAAACAAATCTGCATGTGCTCACTTCAAGTATAAACAGGGCCGGAAGTTTTCAAGGGTGTCTCTGAATATGCCTGAAGATACTGAAGCCATAGCATTTTCACTAGGAATGTTTCCAGAATCATCTCCTTGCACTTCTCAATGTTACCCCGTGCTTTTCCGGATCGAAATATTTTTCTTTGCCTCTGTCCACATCTACAAAAATAAAATACCCTTCGGATAACACTTCATATATTTTTAAAAAATGCTATTATTTTTCCCAAAGAGTAAATATCCTCTCCCAAAACTATTCTTCTGCGAGTATTGTTTAATGCTGTGGAGGAGTCATATTCTATTCAATCTTAGTCAAACAAATCCAGCAGCAGACATACACGCAAGCTACAAGAGAGTGTTGCTCACAATCATGCCCATTACCAAGTATTGGTAGAGAGGCTGACGTGATCTGTTTCTGCGTTGCCTGAACTAAGATGAAACCATAACATTCCCTAGTTAGTGGAAAAGGAACTAACTGTGAAGCTTCCAACTCTTCACTGGTAACCCGATGGGCAATGGATTGCAGATGAGGAGAGAAAGCAGCAATCTCCAACCTCCAACAGTCATCAGCAAACATTTCTTTACACAAAGAATAATCAACAGCTGGAACAGATTACCAGGAGATGCGATTAAGACCAGAACCTGGTCTTGTTGATAGAACAATGGAAAGATAGTGGGATTCTCGAAGGAAGAGACTATACTGTGCTGTACTGGCCGAAGAGCCGTGTGAACCCATCGTGTGAACATTACACCCCTGGGGCTGAAATTCAGGATTTCCAATTCCAATTGCTTTCCAAAGGCTACGATGAAAAGTGCAGATAATAATAATAATAATCCTTGCATTTGATATAGCGCCTCATCACGTCTTCGAGACGTCTCAAAGCGCTTCACAGAATATACGGTAAAGTGGAGCGACTGTGTATTTTGTGGGCGAAACGTGGCAGACAAGTACTCACAGCAGCGTCCCCACAAACAGTCGTGGATTGAGTGACCGATTTATTGTTATTCATTTTTTGGGTGAAGACTTGGGTCTTCAGCATGACCAACCCCTGCTGACCCTCCCTGACTGAGCTGACACAGGACGGTGCTGGACAGCTGCCAATCTGTGCGACCAGACATCAGGCCCTGTCACTGACCCACAGACCAGGAGGACAGGGATGGCACAAGCGGTGCGGCCATCAGTGATATTCTCAGAGACATTTACCATCATTCAAACTCAAAAAAGCCTCAGCCCCCCACCCCTCAGCCCCCCCCTCAGCCCCCCCCCCCCCTCAGCCCCCCCCCCCCCTCAGCCCCCCCCCTCAGCCCCCCCCCACCCCCCTCAGCCCCCCCCCCCCCTCAGCCCCCCCACCCCTCACCCCCCCCCCCCCTCAGCCCCCCCCCCTCAGCCCCCCACAGCCCCCCCCCCTCAGCCCCCCCCCCTCAGCCCCCCCCCCCCCCCCACCCCCCCCACCCCCTCAGCCCCCCCACCCCTCAGCCCCCCCCCTCAGCCCCCCCCCCTCAGCCCCCCCCCCCCAGCCCCCACCCCCTCAGCCCCCCCCCTCACCCCCTCAGCCCCCCCCCCACCCCCCCCCCCCTCAGCCCCCCCCCCCCCTCAGCCCCCCCCACCCCCTCAGCCCCCCCCCACCCCCTCAGCCCCCCCCTCACCCCCCACTCGCCTCAGCCCCAGCACAGCCTCCAAACCCCCCCCTCAGCCTCTCCCCTCACCCCCCCCACCCCCTCCCCTCACACACACCCCCCCCCCCTCAGCCTCTCCCCTCAACTCACCCTCCAGGAGAAGGGGGTGTGGTGGGGGGGGCGGTGGGGGGGGAGTGGTGGGGGGGGGGGGGGCGGTGGGGGGTGTGGTGGGGGGGGGGCGGTGGTTTGAGGTGATGGACGCCGCCGCCTCTCTCCCTCTCTCTCTCTCTGACGTTACGGGTTCCGTGTCGCCGTATCCGGGTTTGTTGCTGCGGGAACCGAGGAGGGAAGGTCCGCCCCTCCCCCCACCGCCACCTGACACCGCCACCTGACAGCTCTCTCCTGTGACAGCGCCGCCCCGGCGGCCGGAGGGCAGCACTGCAGCCACAGCCCCACAGCCCCCCACACACACACACACACACACACACAGAGCCACTGATGGAATTGTACTGTGTATATAAGTAATAATGTATCGCATTGTATCTGATACTGTGTATCCTTCGCATTCAGTACAACAGTAGTAATAATATCATTAATGATGTTATTATTGCAACAACGATAATAATATTATTGTTATTCGATTCAACGGCCGATCGCGCCGCCCGAGTGCCCCTCGAAAGTGCTTCACCACCGCTTTGCTGTGAAGTGTAGCGACTGCGCGGTTTTTGTCTTTAACGCCGACCGCAACAACAACTTGCATCCACTTGCCGGGCGGCGTCTCGTGGAGCGCTTCGCAAGGGCGGAGCGCGAGGCCGAGCCTGGGGGTGGGGGGGGGGGGGGGGAAGGCGACTGTAGGTGCGGTCGTAGAGGAAGGTCTTCAGGCCCAACCCGAAGAGGGGGAAGCGGAACGGGGAGGAGGGGGTGGGGGAGGCGAGGCAAAGGGGTTGAGGGAGTTCACAGGCCGACACACGACAGACAATTTGCACACTTAATAATAATAATAATAATAATCCTCGCATTTGATGCAGCGCCTCATCACGTCTTTGCAACGTCTCAAAGCGCTTCACAGAATATACCGTAAAGTGAATTGACTGTTGCATATGTTGTGGGCAAAAATGTCCCCACGCACAGACGGACAGCCGTGAACCGAGTGGCCGGGACACTGGGTGAGGGAGTCTCGCTCCTCTTGTCGAACCTTGGCCTTTAATAAAACAACATAACTTCTCGTTACCTATGGAGAATAGCAGCGTGTTCCATTGACAACAGGTGGCATTGCTGTTCGTGTGATCGTGACTACTGTATTATTACAGCGAGAGATATTCAGAGGCACTGCTTGGCTGTGTGAGTAGGCGTGCAGACACTGTGTTTGTCTGTGCGGACGTTGATGTTTGAACGGCACTTATTCACTCTCCAGTACAGCACTCCTGGATGTTATGTTTCTGTTATGGTAACAACAGTATTTGCCACATTCTCCTCTTATCTTATTCAAACTTCTGGTAGGGAAAGCAAGCAACAACTTCACAGTGGGAATTAGACTCCAGGTGGTATTATTTTGGCTAATATTTGAAAGGTCCTTGTTTTCTTAATGAAGCAACAGGGTTCGTCCTGTTTCACAATCAGTGCAGTGGTGTCACTCCAGGCAGAACATTTACTTCTAAGTTATTATTGTACGTACTTGAAATGTTAGATTGTGTAAGACTGACTGCAGTTGACAGCGAGGACTCACAGCACAGATCTTCCTCCGGAGGTAGTGAATCTGCCAAAGGCCTGGGAATGGGGTAGGGCAGTACGTTTGACCTTTGGGGAATAAATTCAGATCCACTGAGGGAATAATAACAACAATGTTAATCCGTGCATTTGATTTAGACTTGTTCATGATGGGATGGCGTCGCAAACTGCTTCGCAGGATTTACTGTGAAGTACAGTATCGTGACTGTATATTTTTCTAGGCAAATGCCAGATGTCTGTGTTTACACACAAATGTCCGTCTTTCTCTCTCTCTCTTTCTTTCTCTCTCTCGCTCTCTCCCTCACAAAGGGAAGTAAGTTTTGCATCTGAACCTGGTTCTTATGAATGTAACCCACAGCATAAACTTGGCTGACTTACTGGAGGTGAAACTATCTATTAACATGGAATTCATAATCTCACTCCACGGACCAACTTGGGTAGAAATAGTTTGGCGAGCGTTGTCAAGCTGAGGTCAGCTGCTCTTACTTTTGCTCCTGGCTGATCCGGGAGTGTTTGATATTGACAGTGGGTGCCACAAAGTCTTAAGAGCGTTTTGCTCCCAGCACCGCTCTCCGTCACCTTGATGAACACACAAATTCACCAAGAAATGATATCTTTAATGTTCTCCCATCCTCAATGTATTGAAATGGACACAGCCCACTGGAACCAATATGATCACGAGCTCCAAGTGCTTTTATTTGTGTAGAGTAAATCAAGACCCTGGTGGAAATTCTCCCTATATAAGTATTTGTGCAGCAGGCATACCCATAGGCCACTACATTAGTCTTTGATGCCCTCCCCGCACTTGAATGGTCTGCAAATATTCATTATCCATTACTCAAGAAGGATGACTAAATGAGTGCCAAAATCCAGGACTTGGTGGGGGGGGCAGGTAAAATGCACCTCTGTCTGAGTCATCATTCTTCACGTCTATGTGGATTGACAGAGAACAGAAACCAGGGGTTGGGAGAGGGATTAGGAAGGATGGAAGCTTGTGAGGACTAGTTTGGAGACATTCTCTGACATGAAATGCGCTCGATCAAATGCAAGAATTATTATTGTGATTATTATAACAAACTGCATTTCAGGGAACTTATGGGTTAAACAGTGCAGTGCACAGGGATGGTTTAAATGAAGAGATTTAAATAAATTGAAGTTTCGTAAAATATATATATATATATATATACACTGAAACTCAGACCAGAAATCTCCCATGGGATTGTGGTTGGCTGCAATGCCCTTACCATCAAATTGGCTGCCATCATTCTTTGGAGAATCTATCATGCATCGATTGCTAAACGTAATCTTTTTGTTATTCTGTACATCACAGACACATATGATAGACCGACCTGGTTAGCTTCCCACATGAAGATTGGCTGATCATTTGGATGAAGCAATCCCATGGAACGATACCCCTTAAAATGATAATAATAATAATCCTTGCATTTGTTACAGCGCCTGATCATGTGGTTAAAATATCTGAAAGCCCTTTGCAGAATATATCGCAAAGTGATTTTGACTGTGTATTTTCTGGGTGAAACAATCACGATCAAGAAATGATGGAGGGGAGAGAAGAATTGAAGGGGTTATACATATACATATATATAAAAATAACTTTTTAAAAATTAAAAATCCTGGCAGTCACTTGACCCCTTCGTGTCCCAAAGTATATACTGTATACCTGAGATATTATTTTCTGGTGTAGGTAAGGTTTGCACCACCTGTGTGATGAACTAGCAATTTTCTTTTCTTTCTTTCTTTCTTTCTTTCTTTCTTTCTTTCTTTCTTTCTTTCTTTCTTTTTCTTTTCTTTTCTTTCTTTTTCTTTCTGTCTGTCTCTCTCGCTCGCTCGCTCTCTGTCTGGCAGAGAGGGTGGGAGGCAGACAGATAGACAGACACAGAGAGAAAGCAATACAGGACAACTTTGGCTATGTGTGTAGGTGTATAATGAAGGGGGAGGTGAAATAAAGGAGGTGCGTTTGCTTTTATATCACAAACACGCGACTGACTGACTGACTGACTGACTGCTTGTGGGGGACCTGGCTGTCCGCAATTGGCTGCCCGGTTTCGCCCCAAAAACACACAGTCACTACGCTTGACAGTGTACCCCGTGAAGAGCTTTGAGACGTCTCGGAGACGTGACGAGGGGCTGTATCGAATGCAAGGATTATTATTATTATTATTAGGTGAAGGAGGAAGGAAGGAAGGAAGAAAACTGAAGCAATTGCCAGCAAAAGCAGCTGCGAGCGCCCTCTTTCTGTAGCGGAGTCTCACTTGTCTTTTTGCGCTTAAGTTATTTTTCACCCCCCCACCACCCACCCACCCACCCTCTTTTTTTTCTTTTCTTTTTTTTGCAGCTGGCTGGTCAGGTTTCTCAATGGGCTGAGGACTGGATTGAGAGAGAGAGAGAGAGATAGAAAGGAAGGTGAGTGTGTGAGTTGACTCAGTGCTGCTGTTTGTGCATCAGCCAATAGGTCAACCAGAGAGAGAGAGAGAGAGAGGGAGGAAGGAGGGAGGGAGAGAGAGAGAGAGAGGAGGAAGGAGAGAGAGAGGGGGAGGGAGAGAAAGAGAGAAAGAGGGAGAGAGAGAGGAAGGTGAGTGTGGGTTTGAGTCAGTGCTGCTGTTTGTGCATCATCCAGAGAGAGAGAGAGAGGGAAGGAGGGAGAGAGGGAGGGAGAGAGAGAGAGGGAGGGAGAGAGAGAGAGGGAGGGAGAGAGAGAGAGAGAGAGAGAAGGGAAAAAAAAGAGAGAGAGAAGGAAGGAAGGAAAGAGAGAGAGAGAGAGAGGAAGGCTGGGGGGACCCCCCCCTCCCCACACACACACACCAGGAGGAAGAGAGGTTGTTGCTGATGGCCTCATGTAGTCAGTGTTGCTGAGTGTAGGGTGTGGTGTCACTGCCCCCCCCCCCCCACCCCCCACACACACCCCCCCCCCCCCCACCCCCCACACACACACACACACACAGACTGTGAGTTGCATTTAAAAAGGGGAAGGTTTTATTTCCTTCCAGAGAAGCCAAGGCAGCAGCAACAGTAACAACAGCAGCAACAGTAACAGTAACAGCAGAAGCCAAGCAATTGCCAGTCAGGAAGGAAAGGCAACAGCAAAACCTCAGCCTGAATTTGCAGCACAACAGATGGACCTGGGATGATCATGTCAAACAGCACTGAAGGTCTCTCTTTATTACTCTCTCTCTCTCTCTCTCTCTCTTTCTCTCTTTTGTATATTTATCTATGATAATAATAATAATAATAATAATGTGTCTTTTTATTAATCTCACATCTATATGTGCAATAACACAGTTCTGTGTTTGATGTCTCCTCTATACACACATACATAATGCAGGTCTTGTTTTTAATCTCTCACTCTTGTTATGTTTATAAAAATGCTATGTTTTTAAATCTCATATAACAACAATATAGGTCTCTTGAATCTCTCACGTGTAATATATACTATAAAGGTTTCTTTTTAATCTTTCTCTCCCTCGCTCACATGGAGGTGTGTAATAATTAATAATTGGGGCTGTTAAACAAAAAATCCTTTTCCTCTTCTGAAATTTTATTTTGTTATTTGCAAACCCCCCCAAAAAAAATATATATATTTTTTTAAAAAATCACTGCGTTGGATTTTATTTTGCAACCCATCTCTCTCTCTATAATTATAATACATATATATATACATATATATATATAGTTTTTTCTTGTGTACTGTGTATGCTAAATGCATGGTGTGGGGGTGGGGAGGAGGGGGAAGAGAGAAAAGGGAAATAACAAAGCAAATCGATGGTGGATTGAGGTTGATTTTTTGAATTGCATTTGCAAATGCCTGAGGATTGTGGTGGAATTTCTTAATATATATTAAATAAATGATAAGAGAGAGGGAGTGTTAATGCTTAATGTTTAATGAATGCATGGTTTGCAGTTGCCCCAACCTTCAGAGGCTAATCAATGTGTCCCTTCCCCTTTTTTTTCCCCTCCCTCCTTTTCCTCCTCTCCTCCCCTGTAAATAATTTTCAGGTTTGATAACCTACAGGACTCAGCCTGTCTCTGCTGCTGTGACTGTTACTGCTGTAGCCTGATTTCCCTTTCTCACTCACTCACTCACTCACTCACACAGCACAGCACAGCACAAGCTCAACACACAGCACACAGCACACACACAGCACACAGCACAAGCTCAACACACACAGCACACACAACACACAACACACACACAGCGCACACACAGCACACACAACACACAACACAAGCTCAACACACACACAGCACACACACACACAGCACACACACAGCACACACCACACAGCACACACAGCACAAGCTCAACACACACACACACACAACACACAACACAAGCTCAACACACACACAGCACACACACACACAGCACACACAACACACACACAGCACTCACAACACACACACACAGCACACACAACACACACAGCACACACAACACACACAGCACACACAGCACAAGCTCAACACACACCACACACAGCACACACAACACAGCACACACAACACACACAGCACACACAGCACAAGCTCAACACACACACAACACACAGCACACACACAGCGCACACACAGCACACATAACACACACAGCACAAGCTCAACCCACACAGCACACACAACACGCACACAGCACACACAACACACAGCACACACACAGCACAAGCTCAACACACAACACACAACACGGCTCAACACACAACACGGCTCAATACACACAACACACAGCTCAGTCTAACCCGCAGCACAGCACAAGGCAGTCAGCCAGCGAGGCAAGATGCAGACCTGGCTGAAAGGCAAAAGGGTTGGCTACTGGTTGAGCGAAAAGAAGATCAAGAAACTCAATTTCCAGGCCTTCGCAGATCTTTGCAGGTAAACAAGGACGATTGGTTTGTGGGGAGAGGGTGCAGGGTGCGAGGCGACTTTGGTTGGTGCATTTGAGAGAGGAGAGGGGGTGGGGGAGGAAAGAGGGAAAGAGAAAGCAAGTTTTTTAAAAAAAAATGTGCTCCCAGCGGTGAAACCAACATGCTATAAGCGAGGGAGCCCAGAGGAGCAGAGCAGAGCAGAGCCAAGCCCCCATGTGCACAGCAGGGCAGAGCGGCAGAAATATCCATTCACCTCAAACAATCATTAACTTGTTCTCTTTTTTTGTGTGTGTGTGTGTGTGTGTGCGCGTGTGTGCGCGTGTGCGTGTGGTGGTAGTGGTGGCGGAGAAAAGAGAGAGAACACAGAATGGTTTTCTTGTGTGTTGATCTCGTGCAGTTATAAGAGACATCTCAACGACGTGATAAGGCGCTATATCAAATGCAAGGATTACTATTATTATTATTATTATTATTATTAGAAGACGAGGTCTTGGTTTGGCAGAGAACCACAGTTTATGCGTATGCTCCAATTATTATTTGTCGTAAGATATCTTAAGAGAAAATATTTTTTCTTTCTTTCCGACACCCCTCTCGCTCTCTCGCTCCCTCTCCCCCTCTCTCTATTTGTTCCCTATCCCTCTTTTCCCAATTGGAAGCTCCTCAGGAATTGCATCTGTTGCGTGAGGGATGTAACTCTCCCTCAGTCCCTCTGCCTCCTCCCTCCCCACTTTCAAATCCTCACTGTCACCTTTCCCCCCCCCACACTCTCCCCCTGGCTCGGGGTCAGACTCCGCTACTCCGGGTGGCTGTTATCGATTGCAAAAGCTGGTCTGTTAGCTATTGCTGTTGGAAGTTATTGCGCCTCGGAATTGCTAGGAGGTTTTCGAGTAGTCGTGGCCTGTGCGTTGGATGCCCTGGAGATGTTTGGTTTGATCAGAGAGTTATCAGGCGGGTTTTGGTCCTTATGAGTTCTTTGGAGCTCCATCCCTGTGTCATTCCAGCCCCCTCCTCTCTCTCTCTCTCTCTCTCTCTCTCCCTCCTTCCCTCCCAGCCGTCAAAACTTGCCTTGCGACTCATTTTCCAACCGTGCTTTTAGCGGCAAACGGCTGCGCAAAATGTTTGAGTCATCCTCCTAACGTGAGGTGGTTAGAAATGTAACATGTGGCTTTATATGGGACTTTTATAAGGCTCATGGGGAGGGAAAACATCTCTGTTGTGTAACGCTTGCAACTTGGAGCCTCATGAAATCCTTGTGATGAATCTGGAAGCTACGGGAATACACGGCCAAATCTTGGGATTTATCCAGGTTGTGTACTTTAGGATCTGTATGAGGGTGGGGGGGTGGGGTGTCTGTTCCTCTAGAAAGAGGGTAGCATAAGGTTGCCCATCAATGTATTGGACGGGAGTGAGAGGGAGGGAGGGTCTTGGTGTGTCTGTTATGGACATTTCTGATGGAATCGAGGCGTTTCAGCTTGTAGATGGTGGTGTACTGTTGGAGAAATCACCTGGCACCGTGCTCACCGTCCTGAACACTGGGCCACTCGGTGGGACATGATGGTGAGTTACATGGCTCAAGAGAGGACTTTCATACAAGGGACATCTATCCCAGTTGTTGACTTGTATCATGATCTGGGTGTTAATGGTGGATGTCAAGTTTAGCTTGGATTTTGAACTATGGGATGGGACTAAGAAGGACTGAAGGGCAATCTGGTCCTTTTTGTCCATCTTCAATGGTAGCAAAGACTCAAATCCGGTTACGTTGACGGTGGAAAAGACGCGAATCCGAACGGTTTTCCTTCAAGGTTCTGAGCCGTTGAGGTGGGCAGCAGAAGGCTTCCTTACAGCCCGTTTGCAAAGTTCAGGACCGAGCAGTGAGGTGGGTTAGTAGGTTTAAGAAGAGGGAGCGGCCGCAGGCCTATCGGGAAGGTACCGTCTCACCCTGATCTGTGGCTCTGCTCCCTTGAGGCGATGTTAGCTTTAAGGGTAGGGTGATCTTATCTGGATAAGCAGCAGGAAGCTGGCCAGACTGTATTTGCAGTGGCAAAGCTACGTGTTCTTATCTGGTTAAACTCCAGCAATACCTTCCAAGATGCACTTTGGGCTGCCCGCCTGATCCCCGGCTCTTACCGACGCGCACCTTCTACTTTTTGGAGTCCGATAAGCAGAGGGGTCGGGGGTGGGGGTGGTGGAGAGAGAGTGCTTATTCCTTCCAGGCAAAGGGAATTTTGGGATGTGGTGTTGGCATGCATATTAGTCTGCTTTGGATAATTCTAAGCATAGTGATGGGTTTCCACACGTGGCAGATACCTGGCTGAACTCCTTCCCCAGACCCCCCACCCCCCCCCCCACTACCCATGCCCCACTTTGCCCCAAAGTAAACCAAAACTTAGCGCTGACAATGTGTGCTATGGTGGAATTGCTGATGGCTAACTCATTCCTTTAGAAATGGCCTTTCGTTTAACCCGCCGGTGTTTGAGTCTAACCTTAGAGAAGGGTATCCCTGGCCCTGGCCAACGATCCCCCAAATAAAATTGGGCATTCGTTTCATAATAATGATGATGATAATAATAATAAACCTGGCATTTGATACAGCGCCTCATCACGTCTTCGAGACGTCTCAAAGGGCTTCGCAGGATACACTGCAAAATGATTTGACTGTATATTTTGTGGGCGAATATTTCATGGCTGTTTGTGGGACTTTGTTGTATGTAGTCGTGTTTGTTTACAAGTACACAGTCACTCCCTTCATAGTAAGTGCTACATGAAAGGCGTTGTACCAAATTCAAGGATTGTTATTACTATTATTGTTGTAAGGTTATTGAATGCTGCGGGTGGGGTGTGTGGATAGACCAGTTTTGCCTCTTGAAATTGTTTAGGAAACCGCCTTGAGATGTTGTGAAACTGTGGGTGGGATACTTTGTAAATTATTGATGACCTCTTTTTAAATAGACCTGTTCACATCACGTCAGACCCATTGGCGTCTGATGATCTTACGCACTTCTGATTAATGTCGTTTGAGGTTTTGTGTGCATTGGCTCCTGACACGCATGGATGTTGGAAATATACGGGGGGGGGTTGATCTAGGTCTTGAAGTTAATGTCCTTGGGACAGGATCCATCATATGCTGGGTTTTGACTGACCAGAAATCATTCAGCAAAGGGTGGCCTTCAACTAGATTGCAAGATCGTGATGCTTCTTCAGTCGAAGATTCAGATAGATTGTGAAGGGATGGTCTCCGCGCTCTCTTCTCCCCAGTTAACTTGTCAAATGATCCCTTCCTCACCCAAACTTGCCCCTTAAAGTTCAAACTTGTCAGCTGCCCACCCTGTGTTTGTTTCCCAGGTTGTTGCAGAATTAGCTGCTGTTTTTGTCTCTATCACAATTATCTTTTTTTTTCCCATCTCGTTCCGTAAAACGCTTTTCAGGTGTTTCGAGATGATTGGCTGGCGGCTTTCGCCCGCAGAACACACAGTCACTCCGCTTTACAGTACATTCTCTGAAGCGCTTTGAGACGGCTCAATGACATGATGCGGCTCTACACCAAATGCAAGGATTATTATCATTTTCTTGAAACGTGACGGGCTCTTTATCAATGTAAGTTAGAACTGTAGAAACTTACAGGACAGATGGAGGTCATTAGGCCCATTGTGTGTGTGTGTGTGTGTACGTACCAGTGCCTGTTCTCCTGCTTTGAAGGATGTGGTTATGGAGCCAGTAACTGAGCAAAGCTTAGCTAAGGACCATAAATCCTACGGCAATGCAAGAATTTAAGATTGGGATGAAAACGCTGACATTGACAGGAATCGAACTAGAAATGACTAGAAGGGAATTGACTTAATTCACAAGGCCTATTTAAAACAATACGTCTCATTAGCTTGCACCTCTCTCTCTCTCTCTCTCTCTTGGTCTTCTTTTTCTTTTCTGTCCCAACTGTTTGCATACTTCCAAGGCTGCCTGTCAACCTCCGCTACCGTGCTCAATTGCTGTTTTATTCATGTGTGAGACTTGACAGCAAGTGTCGGCGAGTTGTGCAATCCTATGAAGTGTTGCAAGAGATTCAGACTAGGCCTGTCCTTGCACACCGTCCTTCATCCTTTGTGGGTAGATAACTGTGACATGGAGTCCTGTAGCTCAGTGGTTAGAGCACGCGCTTCACGAGCGAGAGGACTTGGGTTCGATTCCCGGGCAGGACGAAATGTCAGGCAGGTTCCTTACTCCACACGCCTCTGTTTACCCAGCAGTAAGTAGGAACCAGATTGTTATTCGATTGGCGAATCGCTTTCCGGGGGTAATAATCCTTTAAAAAAAATAATAATTTGGTCACTCAACCCACGACTGTTTGTGGGGACGCTGCTGTGCGCAATTGGCTGCCGCGTTTCACCCACAAAATATACAGTCAATTCACTTTACAGTGTATTCTGTGAAGCGCTTTGAGACGTCTCGAAGACGTGATAAGACGTTGTATTAAATGCAAGGATTATTATTATTATCAGGACCGGCAAGCACTCCCTTCACAGTCGAACGCGTCTGGATTGTACCAGTGACGAAGCTTAGCGTCAGGCTGCCTGGAAACCTGCTCTGATCTTTACCGGGTTTAGCTGCTGACTGATTAAACTCATCAAGAGTGAGAGAGAATCAAAATGATTTTAATGTGTTTTTTTTTTCCTCTCTCCTCCTCTGGGTTTGGAATGGTGCCAGTGTTTGACGTGGTGTCACCGGACTTTGTCACTCGCTCATTGAATAAACCGGTTGGGGCGATGCCAACGGCCCCCCAGTCTCTGGCTGCCTATTGAATTGTGAGGAGGTGTCTTAAAGCAGCTCCTTCTTAGCCCCTTTCCAAAGCTGACTTGCAATGACTAACGTAAAAGGTAGAAGCTGAAGTAGAACTACCGGTTACCACAGGTAGAACTGGTTATAACAAGTAACTGTGGAATTCGTGGTTTTTCTTCACTGAAGCACCTTCCCCCCCCCCCCACCCCCACCCCCACCCCACTTTAGGGCAGTTGTGAAGATCCAATCCCACTCTGAAACTGAAGCTTGTTACATGATTCCAGTTATTCTGTTGTGATACCCGTTTAATTTAGCTTAAAGTTAAGTCATATTTCGCCCACACAATATACAGTCGGTTCACTCTACAGTATATTCTTTACTGTTTGCAAACAATGTCCCACCATCCACAACAAATTAAATTTATGTAACGCCTTTCGCGCTGAGAGAAGTCCTGTAACGTCATGAAGTCCCATGAATTTTACTTGGGGAAATTGTGCCCTGGGAATTGTAATCCCAACTTATCCTTTCGGTGGTTCATTGTGTCTCACCGTTTAAAGCTTGTTTAAAACTTAAAAGCTAAAATCTTTCTCCTCATCATTTCTGAAAGTTTGTCTACAATATTCACGGTTATTAACTACACTTTGCAGTAAATCTGATGATGATGTTGTGAAAGGAGCAAGGATTATTTTAATGTCTGGGATTGCGTATGCAGTTCTACATCAGTGTTCTGTTAATAATAATAATAATCCTTGCCATGACCCGCTCTGCCTTCCCTCACCTCCGTTACATCGCCCGACTCCGCCACTAACTCACCCCTCAGGCGCTGAAACTCTTGTTCATGCCTTCATCACCCCCGGCTCGACTATGCAAACGCCCTGCGTGTCGGCCTTCCCAACTCCTCCCTCCACAGGCTGCAGATAATCCAGAACTCTGTAGCCCGTGTCCTCTCCCGCACCAAACTCCGTGATCCCATCTCCCCCATTCTCGCCCGACTCCATTGGCTCCCTATCCTTCAGAGGATCCAGTTCAAAATCCTGGTCCTCACTTACAAAGCCCTCCATGGCCTCGCCCCACCCTACCTCTGCGACCTCCTAACCCCCTACCAACCCGCTCGCTCCCTCCGCTCAGCCGGCTCCGGCTGCTCCAGGTCCCCCGACCCACCCGCCCCACCACTGGCGGGAGAGCCTTCAGCCACTCTGCCCCCAACCTCTGGAACTCCATCCCCCAATCACTCCGCCTCGCCCCCTCCTTAGCCTCCATCAAGTCCCGCCTCAAAACCCTCCTCTTCGGCCACGCCATCGGTCACGCCCATTCCCCTCCCCTCCCTTACCCCTCAACCCCAGGTCGGGTCTGAAATGCTGTACTCTGTCCAGCGCCTTGGGACGTCCTCCCGACGTGAAAGGCGCTGTGCACGTGTAATGTTGTTGTATTTGATATAGCACCTTATCCACGTCTTCGAGACGTCTCAAAGAGCTTCGCGGAACGTACTGTAAAGTGGATTGACGGTGCATTTTTCTTTAGTGCCCGAAAAGTTATCTTGTTGTCTTGCACTCATCGTTTACAGTGCAGAGTCCCTGCCTCTACGTCCTGTACGTAGTAGATCATCACTGACTCTCTTCAGTCAGAATGCTGACCAACATCCTGTATGTTAACATCTCCAGACCACTGCACCACTCACTTGAGACTGCGAAATATCTTTGAACCTGTCTGAACCGCCCGGCAAGGAAAGGGATGTCCTGTTCGATAGTGCTGCACTGAGAGACCGTCCATATTTACCAACCTCGCCGTCAGCTCGAAGCTTTTCATATATTTTTTATATTCTGGAGGAGACTCTTGATTCGAGGCGTTATCCTGCGTGAGGGGGCGCTATGTAAATGCAAGTTGTTGTTGTTGTTGTTGTTAAACCGAGGAAATGCTCAGCGATTGCCAACTGTGGTGAAGGTGGTGAATGCAGTCTGTCTGGTTTCTAATGATTTTCAGCCATGTCATCTTCCCCCGCTCTCTGGAATTCCATCTTGGAGTCCCTCCAACTCATCCCACCCTCCCACTCCCTTTCTCATCCCTCCCTCCCTCACCCCCTCTCTCTCTCTCTCTCTCTCCATTTTTAAAGCTCAACTCAAAATCCACCTCTTTGACTGTGCTTTCGGTCATCTTCCACCCCCAGCCCTGGGAGTCCAGCTCCTGTGTGAGAGCTGCTCTCTATTAATGTAAATTGCAGTGTATTTTCAATTATATTTAACATATAACAAAATTAAGTGAGGAGCGCGTGGCAAAGAGCGTCACAGGGGATCAGGCGGCTGCATTCTCGAACCTTTGCAATTCACCTTTCAACAACAACAACAAATTACATGTGTACAGCGCCTTTCGTGTCAGGAGGACGTCCCAAGGCGCTGGACAGTCAGGGGTTTGGTGCTGGACAACACAAATATCACAAATAGGGTATATTCACATCACTTCCAAGAGGGATATGGGAGAAGCCTCTTTAATAATAATAATCCTTGCATTTGATATAGCGCTTTTCACATCTTCTCGACGTCTCAAAGCGCTTCACAGAATTTGCTGTAAAGTGAATTGACTGTATATTTGTGGGCAAACGCGGCAGCCAATTGCGCACAGCAGTGTCCCACAAACGGTCGTGGATTGAAAATGACCAATTTATTATTGTTTTGTTTTGGAGGGATTATTATTAGGCTCTGTGTGGAGTAAGGAAACTTGCCCAAGGTTTGGCCCTGACCTGCCGGGAACGGAATTGGAAGTGTCTCGCTTGAAAGGCGAGTGCTCTAACCACTGAGCTACTGAGCTCCATCAGTGTTTAAGAATGTCTGGCTTTTTGAGGGTCTTGGGGTGCAGGAGAGTAGGCGTGAGGGAGGGGTGGAGGAGGAGAAGGGGACGGATGATGGAGAAATCTGAAGCGGATTGTCACCTATTTCACCTGAAATGGACACCAATATGTGTTGGTTGACCGGGAACTGAAAGACGAGGATTGGCCAACCGGTTGAGTACGAGAGTGGACCCGGACGAAGGGTCACACCTGAGCAAATCTACCTGTCATTTCCCTGTCGGATGCTGGTAGATTTGCTTGTACACCTTTAGTCACTTTGTGCCATTATCTCACAACACCAGCCTTGTGCTGTGTTCCGTGTATCTTGATTGAGACGTTCTCTTTCTAGTAGGAGTCCTGTAGCTCAGTGGTTAGAGCACTCGCTTTGCAAACGAGAGACCTGAGTTCAATTCCAGGCAGAGGGCGAAACCTTGGGCAAGTTTCCTTACTCCACACAGAGCCTAATAATAATCCCTCCAAAACAAAACAATAATAAATTAGTCATTTTCAATCTACGACTGTTTGTGGGACATTGCTGTGCGCAATTGGCTGCCGCGTTCGCCCACAAATATACAGTCAATTCACTTTACAGTGTGTTCTGTGAAGCGCTTTGGGACGTCCTCCCGACGTGAAAAGCGCTCTATCAAATGCAAGGATTATTATTATTATTAGTATCGAATAAGGCATTTTACAAATAGTTCGTTGTTAAAACACTTTTCGAACCAAAGTTTGGACTCCTGGGATCAATTACCATTTCATTTTGGTGTTTTTTTTTTTCCTTTTTACATTTTTTTTTAACCACGATATTTGTAATTGTTCCTTTTGCGCATCGTCCGACCTTTAGTATGGATCGATCCCAGTGATCTGATTTCCCGCGTGTCGTACAGCGTGAAACAAACAGGAGATTTTTTTAAAAAAATTTTTGCACGTAACAAGGAGAGCGGCGCTTCAATTTCCTTGTGCCTTTAAAGGTTTTTTAAAATTAATAATAGTAATAAATCGTGCGGACGTGAGAAAGGGGGAGAGAGAGAGAGAGAGAGAGAGACGTGTTGACAGATATCATTTCCTCTCTTGTACACGGTGACCAAAAGGTCATGATACCATTACAATGTCTAATAAAGTCTTAAAGAAATTATGATTTTTTTTGTTTGAAATAATAATCGGGTCGTTATCGCGTGACTTTTTGTCACTCTGCAGGCCTATCCCAATCTCTTGCGCAGGAAAGAGCAACTTTTGGTTTGTTGCCAGATCGTGGCCTTTTGATGGTAGATCACGTCAGGAACGATGCTAGTTCTGGTCTGCGGAAACGGCTGGAAGGTCCTGGGTTGCACCCGGCATGTGCTGTACCCTTTTAACAAATATTAATCAATAATACTCCTTGCGCTTGATACAGCGCCTCATCGCATCTTCGAGACGTCTCAAAGCGCTTCGCAGAATATACTGTAAAGTGAATTGACTGGATATTTTGTGGGTGAAGTGCACAGCAGCGTCGCCACAAACAGTCGTGGATTGAACTGACCAAATTAGTATTTTGTTTTTATTAAAAATCCTTTTCCAAACCCGAAGGGGTATCGGAGCTCTCTAGTTCCGTTTCTCAGCCTCCTTGTCTTTGTTGAGCACAAAGTACTTCTTTCTTTTATCTTATTTCCCTGTTGATAACTCGTGTGAACTTCCTAACCCTGACAGAAAATAAGAAAACATGATATTTTTTATTGCAACGTATTCAAATCCCTCCCATCCCTGCCCTTGTTTGCCTGTGTGTAGGTATCTGGTTGCAGTAAACCTTGTATTTGATATGGCGCCTCTCACGTCAAGAGGACAGGCTCAAAGCGCCTTTGGAGCATTTATTGTAATGTGTAGTGACTGTGTATTCTGTAGGCAAATGTGGCGGCCAACTTGTGCACAACGCAGTGTCCCACAACCAGCAGGGAGGTGAATGACCGGTTTTTATCTGGGGAATTGTTGGCCCGGACATTGGGAGAAACCGTCTCCTTTCCAATGGTGCAATGGAACCTTTAATGGTCACTTAAACAGGCAGTGAGTGGAGGGGTGGGGTGGGGGGGGGGGGGAGGGTGGTGGGGGCGAAGAGGAGGAAGAAGAAGAGAAAAGCAGTCCGCTCGTAAAATCTCGACAGTGATCCAGTTTAGAATGTTTTTTTTCCAACGTGATCTGTTATTTTTGTAAGAGTTGCATTTCCCCGATTAAATTGTGTTTCCTTTTTGTCTTTTGCAGGAAAAAAGGGATAGACGTTGTGCAGGTGAGTTGACCATTCTCCAATCCAGTCTCGGGAGATTTTGTTTTCTTCCGGTTCCGCTGAAAATCCTAGTTGTTAAGAGAACAGTGGGGTCCTGTAGCTCGGTGTTTAGAGCGCTCGCCTCGCAAGCGAGAGGACCCGGGTTCGATTCCCGGCCGGGACTGAGCAAAACCCTCCGGATTGCTGCAACAGTAACTCCTATAAATCTACACTGTACAAATCGTACAATCTCCTTAGTCGTACATCTGCTCAAGTCCCGTTCAAGAGGATATTCTATATTCTGTGTCAGTTTACAGAAACGCTTTATGTGAGGTTTACTGTACAAGGAAGTCCTTTTCGACTCCTCGGTGCTTCTCTTTCAGGAAAAAAAAGACCGCGGGTGATTGGGGGGGGGAGGAAAGAGAATGTTTGATGTTGGCTTTGATGCAAATGTCACAGCAAGGCAGGTGGGCTGGGCTGGTGGGGAGGGAGTGGAATGGTAAATTCTTTAGTATGTATTATTTTTCTGTGCGAGTTTGAAGAATTTCTTGAAACAGGACGATTTTTGACCTTCCGAAATGTGCTGCGAACCCACACAGCTGTGCTTCAATCGAGCGTTTCGAGCGTCCATTTATAAATATTTGTGAGAGAAAGTGACTTGTTAACTCTGCCGCCTCGCTTTTAACACGACGACCGCCCGCCCATGTGGTGATCTTTATTTCAAAGAAAGGGATTGATCTCCACGGCTTTGTTCCTCCCTCCCTCCCTCCCTCCCTCCCTCCCTCCCCCTGTGACCTACTAACTCCCTATCGACCTGTCCGCTCCCTCCGCTCAGCGGGCTCTGGCCTGCTCCATGTCCCCCGCCTTCAGTCTCTCTGCCCCCACTCTCTGGAACTCCATCTCACAGTCCCTTTGCTTCGATCGCTCCCTCGCTTCCTTCAAGGTGCGACTCAAGAGTGCGTACAAATGTCATTTGCTATTGCTGTTGGTGAGCTGGGTTCCCCTGGCCAGTGTGTGAACTTCTGCCTTGAGCACAGAGGTGGATTAAGGTGGCAGGATCTGTGTCGTCCGTCCTATGCACTTGTGCAGCCCACTCACTCCCTGAGCAAAGGATCTCAGTTAGTGCATCGCTTCCAGTTTCAAAGTGGGGCATGAAAAGACTTACAACGTGTTAGATTTATGAATTCTTTATGAATGACCTGCTCCTTTCAACAAAGCAGTGCAATGTCTGTTAAAAACCCTCGACTGTCCAGCGACTCCGGTCGTCCTCTCGACGTTGAGAGACGCTGCGTAAATGCAGTTTGTTGTTGTTGTAATTCCGGAAAGTGAAGGGGAGAGAGTATCAGTGAATGAATGTTCTCAATGGCAGAAAACTGAACCATTTGCGGATTGGAAAGGTCTCTGTTTGATGCATATTTCGGTGATCGTCCTGTTTGTATTACACATGGGCAATGTGTAATAATACATTGACTAATAATATTCAGGCGAAGTGTACATCACAGGCCATTTTGCTTCCTTTTTTTTCTTTGTTTCACGGATTTGCCGGATTTCGTGAATCTCCCAGTTGGATGCACAACCCGAGAAAAGCTCATCTAAATCCAGTTTGCCTATATCTCCACTCTGGTGACTAGTTAATCAGTGACTAGTTAAGGCACAGGCAGGTACATGACTCATGTAAGGATGTTGTGGAGTATGAAGATGGGGAAATATGTTTAGAAGATCCGCCGTGATTTAATAAACCTGACAGAAGAGGCTCGGTGGGCTGAATGGCCTCCTTTTCCTATGTTGCTAAACTTAAAGGAAACCTCTGAACCATTTTGCTTTAGTTCAGTAAATTCAATGGTGCGATCAGCAATCAGTTGTGAATATAGTCATCATGTCGCTGAGCTTGTATCTCTCTCTCTCTCTGCCTTTGTGTCTCTGTCTCTCTTTCTAACTGTCTCTGCCTTGTCTCCTTTCCCGCCCCCTCCCAACCCGGGTCGTCGAAAGCTTTTTCTTAAATATACAAATATAGCTGATTGTAATTAATGATGTGTTTGGGTGACCGAGACTTTAATGGAAAATTGGATGACGTCCCTCTCTCTCCCCCCTACCCCCTCCTCCCCCGCCCTGTCCCCCTTGTTACAGTCGGGGTGGCCAGGGTTCTACGAACAGAGCTGCAATTTTTCTTCTCCAACCGATGTCAAGAAAGAACTCGAACTGTGGTCCAATATGAATCATTAAGACGGATAGAAGCAAAGAGGGTGTCTTGAAAGAATGGCTAATTGCCCACCGACGTTCGTGGCTGGCTGCGTTCGTAAGCTCCCCTAGACTTAGCGTTGTGTTCATATAAGTTTACGGTATTTACGGTATAGCCTGGAGGTAAATGTAAGCGTTTCTTCGGAGATGAACTGTAAAGCTGTGAATGAAAGGGCAGCACATGAGCTGTAGCCCAAAACCTCTGGGGAGATTAAGTTCGAATGAGAAAACTAAAGGTCATTTTATTCTTTAATCTCTTTAAACCTCCCCCCTCCCCCCTCGAGGTTTCCCACAAAATAAGCTGTTTAGTTTATCCCCGTCTGCATCCAGTGTTGTCAGTACAGTGCTTGCTTGTCCTTGAGACTGAAAGGCAGCATTATCGTGCTCCGTGCACTGCTCGAAAGCATTCACAAGTATTTACTTTCCCTTCGTCTCTGCCAGTCCTCTCGTCTCCTGTTTACAGAAGTGTCACCGCAGGCCATCATATAGAGAGAGAGAGAGAGAGAGAGAGAGAGAAAGCACTGTCGCAAGACTTTCAACCGTCCGTGGGTTTAAGTGCTCTGGGACACTACCTTGTGTGAGGGGTGCTGTATAAATGCAAGTGTTGTTGTGGTTAAAGAGACATCTTTGTGGCAACTAATTGCATTTCCTTCCTTTCAGCTTTTCGCACCTCGCGTCTGTCATGTCACGGAAAGCTTGATCTGTCATCATCTTTGGCTGCCTTCTCTGTCGCTGTCTTTGCCTCCGGTGTGAAATTGTGTCTTGAAATACCTGATGGTAGAGGATCTTGGAATTATAGAAGTCCTTACACTTTTCATTGAATCCTATGTAGTGCTTTGATTCACCGTGACATGAAAGGCAGTATATCAAATGCACGGAAAATTATCATCTTACTTTACCTCCTTGGCATTTGACCCTGTGTCCTTGACCGGGAAGGGGGTGACAGAGTCTAGTCTTTCTTGTTCCTCAGTGTAACAGTTAGTTGGTAGGATCAGGACTCTGGAAAGGTGAGATCAAATTGACTACCTTTATCCAGACCTCTCCTGTGGTTTTAATCCAGAATTGTTCATGTCGCTTTCAATCCCCATTGCAAAACAGGAGCTAAAGCAGTGCTTTTTTGACTCCAGCCGATGACTTTAATAACGATAATAATAATAATCCTTGCATTTGCTATAGTGCCTTATCATGTCTTCGAGACGTCTCAAAGCGCTTCACCGGATACACTGTAAAGTGAATTGACTTGAGTATTTTGTGGGCCAAACGCGGCAGCCAATTTACTTACAATGGTACGATGGTTTGCCAATCCAACTCGACTGTGGGGCTGGTACACTCAACCTTCCAGCAAGAATTTCTCGTTTCAGTTAAATCGAGTGACCAGACTGGCGAAGTTTGTATAATTACATCCAGCCTCGATTACGTGACTCCTGAGTCATTCATAATAATCCTGAATCAGTTGGGATTTTCCTAGAATACTTAGTTGGACAAGCCAGCGCTCAATAACTGGCTGATCCTGTTCATATAATTAAAGCATCCACAACGTTGCAGAATTTCACGTTTCACAGGCGCTCACACACAATTAGCCAATTTCACGCGTGAAAATCTAAACCCGCCGGTGTTATTTTAGAAACCGATTGCCTTGTGCAAGAGGAAGCCGCGTTTTAATTAGACCTCCAGACATTAGCATCGTAATTTGATTGTCTCTGTTTGAACTCCTAAACCCTGCGCCAGTGATTCCCACAGCTGATCCTACACGATCGGCGTGCTCAACTACATTCCAGAAGGTGCCCTTGTGCGTTAGCCGATTTGCAAAGCCGTCTTGTAACCCCTCGAGCTCTCTGGGCTGAGATCCAGCTCAGTTAATAGGGGATCACGACAGAGGGTTAGATGCAGAGGTTCCCTTTTCCCCCCCCAACCCACCCCCATTTGCGAGGATTATTTTTTTGACCTCCTCCCTCCAAAACACCCACTCAGCCGTCCGCCCAGAATGGAATCCTCTCCTGGGAGCTGCTTTGCGGGGTTGTGCGAGCTTGCCTGAGTCACAGAGCGGGCGGCTGTTTGCGGGACCCTGCTGTGCGCCGTTGTCTGCCGCCTGACTCGGACGACCTCCGTGCCGGGCGGAGCGGTGAAGTGAGCGCGCGGGCAAAGCCAAGCCGCCCGGCTGTATGGGTGGCATCTTCCCATTCCTCTTTGGCAGGTGGTCAAGCCTACATTCGGGACCTTTGTGTGTTTCTGGCCGTGCGTTGCCCGTGCCTTTTAACAACAAGAACTTGCACTTACATAGCGCCCGTCACGCGGGATAGCGTCCCGCAGAGCTTGGATAAGTCATAGAATGCGCCACTGTTGTTGGGAAGCTGTTGGGCGCCATTGGGCCCCGTGCAATTTTTCGGACGCAAACCCTTTTCCGCGCGTTGGCTTCCCTCTCCAGCATCGGCGCAGGGGATGTTATCTGCCACCCGGTAGATGTTTGACGTCAGAGGCTTGACGCGCGTGCGAGAGTTTCTGGTTCCAACGTGCTGTTTCTCTTTTAAATGCACATCCATTAGTGGGTTGCAGGACGGATCCTGTTTTGTGCTCGGAAAGATAAATCTCTGTTCTATGTTTCAAGTGTTTACTGAAGGCCTTTGGAACTGTTGTTCCTTTTATAGGCATTGTAGTGCGAACACTCAGTGACGTATTGCAATCCTGACCTGATAAGATCATTTTGTTTGAAACCGATCATCAGGTTTGTGTGGTCTTGTCACTCGGTACTTACATCCTGCAGCGAAACATCCTGTAACTGCTGTGAC